TCTGGAGACCCAAAGAACATTTCCATCTACCGTTCAATAAGCCTTTCAAAAAAACATCTACAAACCCCTTTCACTAGTTTCCAGCACGCTAGACAGGAATCAACCAAGAAAATAAGCCGGGTTCCGCAAGGGCTTTTCCACAACTGACCATCTCCACGTTGTTAGCAAACTAATCGAGAAATGCAAAGAGTGCAAAATTCCTCTTGTCGTTGGCCAACAAGGCTTTCGACTCGGTCGAGATCCCGGACGTCATAGATGCGCTTAAGGAGCGTTCTGCAAACATTTACGAGTAAGCCAAATCCTACATCAGACTCCACAAAGACTTGAAACGATTCAGACTGCCAAGGGCGGTAAGACAAGGTGATACCAGTTCTCCCAAAACTGTTCATTGCCTGCTTGGAAAAGGTCTTTAGCAAACTACGATGGGAAAAGAAGGGAATCAAAATCGATGGTGAATGTCTTAGTCACCTGCGGTTCGCCGATGACATCATTATTTTTGCCAACAGTATTGAACTGAGAACTCCAAGAAATGCTTCAGAAACTCAACCAAGCTACCCTTAAAGTCAGGCTCAGCATGAACCTAAAAAAGACCAAGGTTATGTACAACGAGTTCGCTGAAAACCTAGAAGAACCCAACACAGGGACACCCAACGAGAATATAGTTCAAAACCACTTGAACATAGCATTGTCAAACGTATTTTAGCATTTAAACGATAGATATAGGCATATTTTTATCCCCTAAAAATTTTTCATCTGTTCGGATTTCCTAACTGAAAGTCTCGAGATCCGAAAATCATAGGGATCAACACTTACCTTTTCGAAAATTTTAGCCAGAAAAAAGGCTCCCGAAAATTCTAGGTGAGCTTTTCAGGGTAAAAATCCGTTAAAAATGGGCAATTACACCAATTTTTAGATGTTCGAAAATCCTAGGAGAGGTAGGTAAGCCAGAAATTTTACAACATTTGTTCCGAAAATTCTAGATCTCAAATCTTCTTCCGAACAGATATTTTCCGAAAATTGACGTTGGGTGCCCCTGCCAACAACGACAGCAACAAAATTGACGGAGTCGTTACATCTACCTCGGTCAATACTTCTACATGGATTCCGCCTCGAAGGAACAAGAGATCAAACGTCGTATCACCCTCGGATTTCAAGCTTTCAGTAGAGCGAGCGCGATCTTCAAAAACAAAGACCTTCCACAATCAGCACATCTTATTGCCTGCGTGCAGACGTCTTTTCCTTTGTTGCACGCGGAAAAGGGACGACGTCCCTTTTCCGCGTGCAACAAAGGAAATAGGAGACGTCTGCACGCAGGCAACACATCTTACCAACAGTCACCTACCTGGTCTACGTATCTGAGACCCAGTGAAATCGTAAGAAACAACAAACCTTAAAACTCAGAATTATACAGAGAGACCATGAAAGAATGATAGTAAATATTACATGGCGAAACCGTAAAACAGCTCAATGGATCCGAGAAAAAAAACAAAGTACGAGATATCATGGAAACGATTAGCAAAATCAAATGGAATAAGGCTGGTCAGGTGGCGCAATGAACAAACAACCGTTGGACAACCCGCACCCGGGAACGCGCTGTGGACACATAAAGAACCGAGGAAGACCAACGGGTCGAGATAGAAGAACGATTTAGATAGTTTTGTAAAACACTACCATCGTGTTGTGCAAAACGTGGTCCAGTGGAGGTCAATGGGGAAGGCCTATGTTCAACGACCGACATTCAACTTCTGGAACTGAACTGAACTGAAACTGATTGATGTTGACCGTTTTTCCCTCCCCGAAATTCAAGAGTCTGCCAACAGTTTACGACAAGTCCACCACACCCACAAGGTGTCTTCTACATTTGCTCCATTGCTTCGATGCGTACTTTTCGAAGCAATGCTCACCTACATGATTACTGTCTAAGACGCCCGAGTAGACCATGACTGTGCAGGAGGGGGTACTCACCAGCTGGTCGAAAGCAGTGTTGGTGTAAGACCATCAAAATGGGATCGCCTTGTCAGTTGTTATTCATAACATAGGAGGTATTGACCAGGAGTTTTGTGGTTCCCACTCTTGATATTGTTAAGATGTACTGTCGAACGTGGATATGTAGGCCCCGGGAAAGTCTACTTCGTGGAAGTCATAGACAAATTGGACAATGGCGATCACACCGTGGAATTCTATTCGGGGAACCCAAAACGCACGAAGGAAACATTAACACTCAGAATTTGAAACAAGTTTTAACTTGTAAATTCTGAGTGTTCAGATGGAACATTGACGGCCAATTGAGCCATGAGATCATGCGGCAAAATGTACTGGACGGAGCTCTTTACCTTTGACACGCCCCAGATGACTTCAAATAGTGCAGTCCAGTTTATCGAAATAACAGATCCTGAGTACAAACGCTATCAACTGGTCTGCACGAAGAGAGTACTGGACCCCACCACTTTTCTCACTTTCCTCTTACGGGCACTCGTTGGCTGACATCCAATCAAATGTCGATTTATTATTATCTCTTTGAACAAATATGTACATGGGTGATTCTCGAGTTGACCGCCGATAAACGTTGTCGTTACCAAGAAAAGGTATATGCAAATGAATACAAAAGAGCGACCAAGCAAACCATTTCTCTTGTTCTTAAGGTGCATGTTCCAAACCAAGAGAGGATCTCTTGTCCAAACCCACCTAAAAATGGACGTAGTAGAACGATGGACCATTCAAACTATCAACGAACAGATGGGTATTCCCACCATGAATGATTACGTCTCCTACGTGGGAGAGACACCACGTGTGGATTTCTGCGCACAAGTGTTGGAAAAACACTTTGCCATACAGTCGAAAATAATGAAAGTACCCCACATTCGTACGGCAAATTCACCACCCAGTTGTATCATGATCAGTCGTCAAGAGAGTACATTTACATCGAGCCGCAACAATTCTGGGAAGGATCAGTGCAATTAAAACCCTCAACAGAACATGCCCGGCCAAAGACTAAACTCTAAAGAAACCATCACATATATTGTAAAAGAGATGTCACGAATGTCTGTGCGCTCTCCTATTACAAAGATCCCGGACAGCGGAAAATAAAAAATGAAGCTGAAGAGAGGAGCGCTCCCTAAGTTCTAGTGGTGCATCAGCCAATTAAGCAATAAATATAAAGGGCTGCTGAGAACCAATCAGATTCGAGAATTTTGTTACTGACACAATTACAATTAATAAACGTATCAAGTTTCTAATAAAGCTATTAAAGTGAGATAAAAACTATTATGGACTTGAAAATTCGGTACTATAACATTAATTACAAGTGCTCTTAAGACTGAAAATAGGTATTATTAAAAGTTTTTACATTTGCAGTGGCGGGGCGAGCTCCCGTGGCAAAGCATTCCAGCTGTAAGTAACCCATACAAGTAACCCGTAGCAGCTATTCTAGACTTCAAATCCCCTCTGACACCCTGAATTATCTTTTTCCCAGCAACACTTTCCTTCCAAGGACTATTATTTCTTCCACATCTCCCAGCCAGCAAAAATGTGCCTGAAGAACAGATATTTTGAGGAACAGATCCATTGGGTGACTGGTGCCCCTGCATAGCTAAAATGGAATTTCATTCACTGACCTAAAGTTTCATATGTCTCAACATACATCTTCAGAAGTAACCGTAAGTTTAAAATTTTGAAATATGTAATAAGAGTAATTTGAGTAACTAATGAGATTGACAAAAAACGTCAACGCCTGTTTAACTAGTGTTGGACGGTTTTGGACGAAAAGAGTCACCTGAAGAGTCCTTGGAGTGATAAGTGATTTGAGAGAACCGGTAGTTTTTATAGTGGAACGGTAAACCCTAGACTGCTAGCAGCCTCTTATTTTTTTGTAAAGTTACTCCACGTAAGCGTAAACGCTGCACCCGAGCGCAATCGCGCTAGCTGACCGTAGCCTGCGGGCAAGCTCGCCGGGGCAAAAGCTGACCTGGCTGGGATACTTGAAAAACTGGACGGATTTTAAGAAAAAAGGCGGACTGCAAGCAGTCTTGTGAAACCCTTTCTGAGTGTAATAGTCTTGAACCGCCTTTTTAGTGTATGATTTTAATGCCTTCTCGCACCGTTAAATATTGGAACAACCTTTTCCCGGCTGGTACACTGCCGACAACTCCGACTTTCTTTTTCGTAACCATGCACTCACAACGTCTGAACGTTTCAGCTAAGACCACCTGCTTTTATATACAGTTTAATCTGCTTATTTACTCAGCATGTCGGTTTTTTCTTTCGTGAAACTGAAATATTAAATTTTTTCTTTACACAGAAAGTCAAGCTGAGAGCTATACTGGCTGACAAACCAGTGAAACGATGTTCAATTGGTGCACTTTTTAGCAGGGAACTTACCAGCATCTCTCGAGTTTTGATACGCTCTGCTGTGAAAATTATAGTAAAATATATTAGAGAGGAAGAAAAACAATTTTGTGTTTTCGTCGATATTTGGATAGCATGCATCGATTAATAGGTTAATTCGTATAACTTGTCGTCTCGTGCTGACATAGCCTGACAGAAGAATAAAAACCCGGAAAAAAAATTATCGGCATTTATCGTCTGCAAAGACTGCATTCTAATCTCGCCAAGTTGTTTTCGTCTATTAAAAATGAATCAATGAATCCCCGGATGTTTTTTCCTAAAGTCTTCAAAAATCTTAAAGTGACTTGCATCGACTGCCAGTTGGACGGTTTATTTTTGCATTACTTACAATAAGGAGACGAGATACAGTGGAGATAAGCTTAGTGGGGTATTTTTCACTGTTGTTTACAGCCAAAAACGCAGTTGACGAAAGCAAAACTCAGTATTGTCATGTTATTCTTAAAGCTTTGATGACAGCGTTGGATTAATTTGTTTCTTGCCACTTTCATGGTAAAGCATTGTAAGCAGGAACAAAAGTTTAGTCCGTCAAAAAAACTGTCCTTCCGTTAGCTGTCAGGCAGGCTCCTTGTCGAAATCGATTGCGAACTGACGATTTATTGCTTTCATTGGATAAAGAACAAACTGCATGTGAGAAACAAACTTAAAAAAACTGTGCTACAGAAAAAATATCATATTTGGCGAAATCACCTCAGGAAGTGAGCTGAGCGCATACATCCAATTAACGGCAGATCAGAGTGCCTTGGGCTGAAAAGCTGAGCCTTCGGTGTTGACATTTTAGTGGTCAAAGTAAAGAGAATGAAAGATGGCGGTGAAGATATTTGTCTCATTCTGTTCTATCTGCGGTCTTTTACTATTCTTCAGTATTAGAATCACTGGAGGAAATCCGAAAATTGTAATGTAAGTCTTTCACCTTTTCCTGTTCTTACTATATTTATATCCTGCCTCCTTGAGGTTTAGTATACCAAACTTGCGGCAAATGATTTCTCAAACTTTGGCATACTAGGGTACGAGACTGGGCACATCGAATCGGAGATGGGGCCTCCAATTTCACCGACGAATTAACCGGCGCAAAGTACTTACAACAGGTATCTGAAGACCTCTGAAAGATTTGTCTTTTCTCGTTTTACATGTCTCTGTCTTCCTTATTGATGAGCTATTAGTGTATTCACAAAGTTTATTGAACTTGCAGATTTACGAAAATTTGACATTTTTACCAGCGGACGTCGATGGAAGGGAAGTTCTTATCAGAATGAAGACAGAAATGGAGGCTTTTTTTAGTAGTAAAACATCGTCATTAAAGGTAAGAAGAATCTTTACCGAGAATTAAGCTTAGATATATCCGGCGTACAATGTTTACAACAGTTGACAGCTTACAACTTTAACCTCTGACGCGGTCGATTTCGGAGACACTGTAGATATTTCGCTGGTTGACCGATCGTACTCAACTTTATCATTTATTTATTTTTTTGCGATGTTACATTCGTCACATCTTTTTCTCTGATTTTTTTTTTAAATGGAATATTCATAAGCCTTATATTTTATTTTTCCTTCCACTGTGAACGGGTTAATTATTCACAACAGCTGAAAATGTTTTGTCTTTCAACGATGCTTTTAATGAATGTCCCGTCATGAAATTGCGAAGAAACACAATGATTGTTTTCTTATCGTACGATACATCTTCAAATTAAAGTGTGCTAAGGATGCATTGAAAAATTTCTGTCAATATATTTTTTAATTCGCGCGTTAAAAATTATTGTATCGATAAATTTCGTTAACTTGAATATTCTGCAATTTAAGTAGGTAAGATTGAAAATAGAGCAGTCCGGGAATTCATATTTTTAACCTTACTGTGGAATAACCGCAGTTGTTTTATCGTTCTTGAAAACGAATTGTGCTAATAAGAAATAAAATGTTCGCGAAGGTTGATTTCTGGCCTGAAGGTACATGTGCAATCTCCGATCCCCCGCACGGAATAAATTTCATTTGTTTATTGTGAAACTTGGTGGTGTTGAATAAGGTGCATGAAAAATGTTGATGATTTGAGCAAATGTTCGTATTATTTTGTCTCCAGGATGAAATTGAAATATATAATTAATTTAATTTTGAGTAATATTATCAAAGTGCCCATTGGATAATGTTTTTTCACAACAACAAAATGATCATTGTCTTCGTTAACAGTTTATGTAAACACGTTTAATTTTGAAGTGGTGCGTCAATCTCGTTTCATTTGCTCCAAAAAACTATCTATATTTCTAGTTATATGTGGGAATCTTTTAGTTTCTGTAAGGCTGAATGTAACATTATGAGCTATATATCTTAGTGACTGAACAGTTAATTTTATTTGTGTGTATTTCAAATAATTAACAATTATTGGACGAGGTTGAGCAAAATATCATGATTTGTCTGTGGGGAGCAGATCAATTATTTGCGGAAGCCGAATTATTGTTTTATCATTCGATCACTGAGTTTGTTTTTTTAATGAATATCCTTGGGAAGCGAAGCCATGATCTGCCATTTTCACGCAACAGTGATCACAAGAAGGAGAAAAGCACGCTTTCCATTATGCATGAGCAGAATATTATTTGCAGCCAGACACTGTTGGACGGCATTGCACATGAGCAGACCATTATTTGTAGGCAGTTATTTGCAGGTCACGTGGTGGGCTCTCGGCCAAATGAAAAGAAAGAAAAATTTGCTTCGAATGATAATTTAAGTTAACAACTTAATCGCTTAACTATGTGGTCCAAGATAAAAATACATATTCTTTGGCAGTAAATGGGAATAAAGGTTGTTGGGTGCACCCTGGGGTAAAACAAGGGTGGCAGCAACACACCCGATAAAGTGCATGCAATAAGGGTGGCAGTGACACACCCTAAACGGAGTAGAGGAATAAGGGTGGCAGCGACACACCCTAGTAATATACGTAATGGAATGAGGGTGGCAGCAACACACCCTAGCAATGAGCAATGCAGTGGGGGTGGCAGCAACACACCCTGCACGGTAATGGACGCATAACTTAGTATTGATTACAGCTACTAACAATGAAGACATGTTATCACAGAAGCTTGTAGAAACAACTGAAGGTCAGTTATTGATCATGATGTAATCTATGATATACAAGGAGCTCTTGAACCAGAGCTGAGTCATGCAATGTTCCTTTATGTGCAATAGCAACATATTTGCCACCCAAGGCAAAGTAATTCATAATGAAAAACAATGGCTGAAGTACACTCTAATTAGTTACCTCTATTTTACAAGTAAAATGTCCAAGAGTTTCCTACATCCAGCTGGTATTAAAACAGCTTGAAAAAAATTTCACAGCCGAAGTCACTATTAGTTTTTGTATATAATTACCTCTAATTTCTAACTTAGGGTTTGAATGCTAACTTAATAGTTTAAGGAGAACTGCAAAGGAAAAGGAGCAAACACAAAGACCTCCAGGATAAAATTCTCCTGATGTGGAAGAACTAAAAAAGATATAGACTCAAGGCTCCTTTTGTGCACTGAATGACTAGTCCTTGAAAAATGTGAAATATGTCCTTGAAAGTCCTTGAAAAGTCCTTGAAAAGTCCTTGAATTTTTTATTCAAAAAAGGGCACGAACCAAGTACTTTATTGATGTTTCATTGATGCTAATAAGCAGAATGATATTAAAATGAGTAGCATATGTTAAATGCTACTGCTGAATAATTACTGTTCATTAAAAATATCAGCAGAGCTCCACATGCTTGCCAAGAGGGCCCAAGCAGACACACAGCTAAGAAAAATTGGTTATCTATCCAGCATCAGCGTACATAGAGCTCCATTATACAGTGAGACACAGCAGTTAAAACACCTGACATGCACCAATGACTAAAATCCTTCTGGGTTCAATAATACTGACCAGGCAGGCCATGACTGTCCCTCATGATCAGTGGACACCGACAATCCTTATACCTGGCAATTTTGCTACCCCATACTAGAGTTAACTCTCCAAATCCCCCCTATCCTAGAGTAGCTGTTTCCCTAGTCTGGATAAAATCTTCAACCAACTGATCAGTTTCCTGAAAAATGATACCCTATTCTAGACCCAAACGGTCTGATTTATATACCCTATCCTAGAGTAAACTGCTTGAAAACCATACCCTTCACAGCGGCACACACCTATATAGCCCATATATGGCAGTATCCCCCCCCTCCGGGTTGAATCATAAGCTACCAATAATTTATTCTATTAACTTTGAATACAAGAGTAACCTCTAGTTTCATTCAAATAGATGCTATTTCTGGCTGAACAATAAACCTTAAATTAGCTAAATTTTGCATTTATCCTATTTTATCCTTGCTGTCAATAACATATACCCTGAAAGGCCATCATGTTTAATTAAGGTATTAGAACTGCTATAAAGTGAAAAATTGATCATGCTTATAAAATCACTCATTTGAAATGTATTCTTAACCTGAATACAAATTCCAAAAATGAAGCATTTTTGTTCAATAAAAGCCAAGAAAATATTTTGGAAAATTATATTAATAATTACTGAGTTAAAATCTGACGCCTTGCAAGGTCAATGACAGATAAGCCTGCAGTTAAATGACAAATTATACAAATGACCGTGTCGCTAAGGCTAAAACATTGTTTGCACATGCCGTATTGAGAGCATGTCATCAACCAAGTTCAAGCAAAGATTTTCGCATTGTCTTGCCTCATTCCGTGCTACAATCGAGTCAGTGTCACAACAAACATTAAGAACAGCGGTTTATTCACAAGAGTTCAACAAAGTAAACAGTGTAGTGCGTTGAAAATTTAGAGCGAATTTAGGGCAATTTTGCGGCCGTGTTAGACCACACTGAAAACAAATTGATGTAAAAAGATGAGGATTTATAATACTGAGCTGAAACTTGCAAGATTTATTGCATAAGGTCAAGGAAAAACGTCTTAAATTCCTGGCAATAAGGGAAAAGCAGTTTTGGAATTTTTTGGTTACTGCCCGCATGAAGTTACAAGGTGTTACAAAAAAATTTCACCAGTACATCAAGGAAAAATTGACTAGCAATATATTAATGCCGGGAATCAGTAAAGGTCAACTAACAATCTAAGTGTAAGTCAGTTCAAATTTATGTTTTATTCCTAGTTATCTAGGGAAAGCCAGAAATATGCAATATTATTCTTGATTTTTTGAGCCTGCAATATAAATTGGAAATCATACTTTACCAGAAGGTGTGAAAATTGACACCTCAGATATCAATTTTCTGAAAGCTCAGGTCTTGCTTGAGAGACTTGAGTCATTTTTATTTTGGGAAATTCTTTATTATTTGAGAAACAAATTTTTGAAGTGAACGGGTTTAAGGCAGATTTAATTAACCCTAAACTAGTTTTTGATAGGTGTGTGGTAAATAGTATAAGGACTTGAGTTGCTGTCATCTAAAAGCAACATTATTTTGTACCTGAAAAACTAATAATAAAAAAAAATACATGGAATAAAATGAACAATACATACAGCAGGGTGCAAAGAAAGTCAGTTTTACAGCTTGCCATGCGGGTAAGCTGTAGGTAGCTTATACTATCTGACCAAGAGTCATTTCAACTAGCCCCCAAAAATTTTTTGCTGAGCAAGACAATTATTTTGTAATTTGAATTACCCAAATAACTTCACTTGCCCATTTGTAACAGAATTCACTCATGCATTAGAGCAAAATCTACCAGTCCCGGGCTATCAGACACCTCTTTCTTTGCACGTTGCTCATTAAGGCAACATCTCAAAGGCTTGGAAGATCAACTGAAGGCTATGTGTTTTATGTAGCCAGTGGCTGTAGTTTTTGAAAAATATGTCTTACTTTAAGAAAGTAGTCTCTGCTGTTGTGCAGAGTCAAATTGGTTACCTTTTAATTTGTTTTTCTAATTTGTTTCTTGTAGAAATTAGTGGAAAAGGCTGAGGATTCGTACTGCAAGTACAAATACAATAAAAACTTACAGGTAAGGTGATGGTGTGATGGTGAAGTTATAGTCATAAACAACAGACTTGTGTAGTACGAGACACAGAAAGTTGCATCACTGTGAAAACTATATAAATCAAAATTTGTTTCCATCTGAGCTCTCAATGTTGACATGACGGAACCAGATAACAATCATACTGTTTTTTTTCTGACTTACCTGCAGGGGTAGATAATAAAGAGTCAATTATTAGTCTTTTGCATTAATTTTTAGGCCCCTCCTTTTTGCGAGCAGATGACAAGGATAAATGGACAAAGTTTAAAACTGACAGACAGGGACATATACATACCCCATCTTTCTAAGAGTGTGTTATACTGATTGTTTCTTATTCTTAAATTTAGCTTGGCAACATTGATTATCCAAATGCAAAAGATCTTGAAAAATATTTAAATACATCTGGCCTGAGGCTTGAACACAGTGCCACCTTTCAAAGTGAAGTTAGCTTTAACAAGAGTATGATCCATGTCCCAACTGATGTGTATGATGGAGGTAGGATTTAAAAGTATATTGTTATTATCATTAATTTTTTGCTTTGCTTACTGAAGAGTAACAGCTGGGCAGCTGTGGCCTAAAGCCTTTTAAATGGTATAAAACACAGACTGTAGACAGCAGGTTACACACTGAGGGCTGGGTAAGGACCAATTATAGGTACCAGGTTTTTTCTCAATTAAAGCTTTGCAACAGTCTGGAGTGGGGGAACACTGAAACCTTGCAGGAAATCTGAAATTAAAGTTTTGCAAGGGATAGCACCAATGCAGTATGAAACAACGATTAAGGAGCTTTTTATGTTAAGGTGTTGGCCACTGGTCAGTAGCTTCAATTTCTGCGAGTCTTTGCTGAAATACAGGAATGTTTTCTCTCAGTATAAAGCACTGAGAAAATTCACGTTAATGTCAAATTAAAGACACTCACAGGCACTCTAGGTTTTCTTCAAAATCCTGCCATAAAGTAATAACAGTAGATCGTAAGCCTGGAAGAACAAATTCATTGAGAAGCCTCTGAAAATTCGTTGGTGTACTGTAAAGGCCAAATGGATATCTGGATGTTGATGAGTTATTAACAGCTGGCTATACCAGCCAAAGAATGATTTTAAAGTCATTACTTTTTTGCACTTGTCACATCATAAATTCCACCTTTAGCTGATGCAGAAATGTTTTTGGGATAGTAGTAGGTCAGGGGCACCCAATGTCAATTTTCGGAAAATATCTGTTTGGAAGATGATTTGAGATCTAGAATTTTTGGAACATTTGTTGTAAAATTTATTGCTTGCCTGCCTCTCGTAGGATTTTCTAACGTCTAAAAACTGGTATAATAATATTGTCCATTTTTTAACGGATTTTTACCCTAAAAAGGTCACCAAGAATTTTCGGAGCTTTTTTTCTGGCTGAAATTTTTGAAAAGGTAAGTTTTGAACCCAGTAATTTTTGGATCGCTAGACTTTCACCTTGGAAATCTGAACAGATGAAAAATTTTTAGGGGATAAAAATATCCCTATATCTACTGTTCAAATACTAAAATACGTTTAAGCAATGATATGTTTAAGTGGTTTTGAACTCTATTTTCGTTGGGTGCCCTTGGTAGGTGTTATCCACGGAATGCACCTGTTTTTGTGCAGCATCTTAGCAACATATGCTGGTGTACTGTCTTCTCTTGTTAACTGGTAACCCCCCCTGGTTCTTTGATTCTTGATATATGATGGGTCAGTTCATCATTCTGTTTATGTTCAGTGGTTCTGACTAATTTATCAACAGAATTGACCAATGGCAGATCAGCAAATTGAACACAGGAAACCATGTTCATTCCTTAGTGTGTGCTTTTGCATTCTTAATTGACACCGCCTTGTCTTTGCCAAATCTACCTTATGTTGTTTCAGGAGGGGCTGGACCATGTGGCTGATAGCTAATTCCACTTGCAATTTACATGCCATTATTTGTTTTTATGGAGGGGCAAAATGTTTTGATATGCTATAGTGTTCTTAAAATCTAGTGTTAATGCTTCCTCTTTCCAGTCTAGTTGTGATTCAAATCAATTTATATGCCCTGTAGTAGCTTTGGTGTACCAGTTTTGTTATCTGAAATTAGTAAGTTGAATTGTTTTAATTAAGTTGACATAATAAATTTAATTTGCAGCGGCAGAAATTGTGAATGGAATCCAGTGGACATCTTCTCTGGATGGTGTATTTGACAGGAACAGCAATGATGATCCCACTTCATCATGGCAGTATTTTGGGTCGGACAAAGGTTTTATGAGAGTATATCCTGGTAATTGAGACATGCATGTAGACCAATTTTAATCCTTACACCCTATCTTTTGCTACCTAAAAAGCCAAACTTGTTTTTAAGATGTATTACGTAGTGTGGGTTCCAGGAAATTTTTTTCTATTTCCCTTGAAGAAGGTCATTTAGACTGAAAAATCTCTTGACCCAAACTTTGAAAGGGAGAGCATTTTTACAACTAAACTATATTGGTGAAGTCTTTTTTGGGTGGAGCCTAAAGGGGGATGAAAGAAGGGATAACTTTAATTGCAATATAGTTTTAGAATCATATTAAAGGACCATCAAGTTCAAACAGTTTGCAGTAGGAACCAAGAAAATAGGAGGGGAACTTAAAGTGGACTATATCTACACAGTGACTGTAAATTCGGTATGTTACCGGGGTATTATTCTTTAGTGAATAGGCTCTGTCTCATCTCCTACTGTTCACTCCCATTTCTGTTTAATCCTAATGTGGAACACCTCAGGTAGGCTCATAATATCCACATGCTAACAAGAAGTTTGAGCACAAATGTTTTTTTTTTAATTTTAATTTTTTTTTCCTTTTTGTTACTCTTATTAAGCTAAACCCTGGGACACTAGTCCTAGTCAAGTAGATTTATTTGATGCAAGAAGAAGACCATGGTATATTCAAGGTGCAACATCTCCAAAGAATGTCATCATTCTTATTGATGCAAGTGGAAGTATGCATGGTGTCCCAATGAGGATAGCGAAGCTCTCTGCACAAAACCTTATTGACACTTTGGGTGACAATGACTTCTTTAACGTTGTCTATGTGAGTATACTTTCTGTCATATTTCTATGCAGTGATTTTGGTGTACACATTGTTGGCACATGATATGAAGCTGAAAAGGACAGATTGAAATTTCCTTTGAAACAATGCAGTAGTTGTGGTAACATAAATTCTAAGATAGAAAATTTCATGAAAATAAAATAATTAAGTTTGAATATCCATTACATTTGACCAAACTCATTTGTGAAAGTGAAACACGATACAAATGTTCTCTTAACCCATTCTGTCCTAGGAATTTTGCTGAAAAACACGTTTTGAAGCTAGTCAAGTGGTTTTCTGGTCACTGTCTGGCTTTTAATAACTAAAACTTACCACAAAGCCATTTACAGGCCATGTACTTGATGTACAGATGCAAAATATTAGTATCTGAAGTTCAGGCATGCACATAAAAGAAAATTTCGAGATAGCTTTTGGGTTTAAAAGTGACATAGCAGTCTTAATTTTTTTCTTTTCACTGTTCTTGGCTTAGTTTTTTCTTTTAGTTTATTTGGGTGGGACGTTTTTGGGAAAGCTTTAAGGATCATGTTAGGATTAAATAGAAGGAAAGGTGGGAGGGGAGTGAACAATATTTTCATGGTAATTTTCTTGTCAATCAGTTTCCATGGTTTTTTGCCTTTTTGTCAAGCCTCCTTTACGGAATCATGCTCAAAGTTGAACTGTCCTTGACTGTTAAAACTGATGATGTCACAAGCAGTAGAAGAGACGTGAAATTTTGTGCATGGGTGTTTACTTTCGGTTCAGGGGCAAATGGGTTAACTGAAGCTTATGCTCTAAGTCACCTCCATTTTCTCTGTGAAAGACTTCTGTCATCGAAATTCATTGCCAAGAACATTTCTTTTAATTTGCCCAAGCAACCCAAAAAACAATTTATTAAACTCACCAGGTTTTTCACTGTTTTGTTTGGTTCTGGTTTCATTTCTAGGCAACTGCTATAACCAACCCAATATAATCAAAATATACTGGAGCAAAACTAAAATCAGAACATGATTAGGGATCCCGCATCCATACCAAAATTCATGTGCAATGTGGCCTGTTTCACTAGGGATTATTTTTGAGATATTTTCTTTTGTTGCTGTTAGTTTAATAAGGCTGCTTATGTGCTATGCTGCTCTGAATCTGGTCCTACATTATTACAAGCTACCAGGAAAAATAAAATGGTAAGTCTTAAAGAGATTACCTGCATTACAAGTGTTATTTTTTCAGGGGCACCCAACGGTAATTTTCGGAAAATATCTGTTCGGAAGACGATTTGAGATCTAGAATTTTCGGAACAGGTGTTGTAAAATTTCTTGCTTGCCTGCCTCTCCTAGGATTTTCAAACATCTACAAAATGGTATAATTACCCATTTTTAACGGATTTTGGCCCTAAAAAAGGCCACTTAGAATTTTCGGGAGCCTTTTCCTGGCTGAAATTTTCAAGAAGCTAAGTTTTTATCCCTATAATTTTCGGATCAATAGACTTTCAGCTAGGAAATCCGAACAGATGAAAAGTTTTTAGGGGATAAAAATATGCCTATATCTACCGTTTAAATACTAAACCACGTTCAACAATGCTGTGTTAAGTGCTTTTGAACTATATCCTCATTGGGTGCCCCTGTGTTTTGGCATCTTTCAGGCAAACTCAAAATGCACTCTGAATATTATATCTTTGCACTTACAGCTAACATCAGCTGTTTTGGAAATCACATTTTCAAATAAACTACTGAACACTTGAAGTTTCTTTTATCTTGTTGGGTCATGCATGCAAATCAAGGAAAATCCATTTATCTGTCTTTGTTCTTTAACTTCCTGGTTATATCTGTAAGTTGGAATTATTCAAGTCCTCATTCAAATAATTTTATTGCACCTTGAATTCTCTACTTAGAATGGAGGCACAAACAGTGAAGAGCTAAGTGGTTTAACTGTGATTTATTATTTGACCTTTGCATTGTAAATCTTTATATTTTTTAGTACGTCAAGAAAAAGTTACAGGAGATAGTTGATCGTGAAGTTGCTATGTGGAAACTTGGCATGAGCAAAGCCTTTGAACTTTTACGAGAGGTAAAACAGTTGAAGCATGTCAAAACTTTTTCCCTTTATAGCAGTCTTAATTTCGTTCTACAACCATCATTATTTTTAGTAGGATTAATATAATTGAGTTGCGATAATTTGTTAACAGCTAAAGTGAATTCAATTTTGGTGATCAGTTCATTGGTTGATTCACAGTCATTACGGCCCTGAAATGAAAAAATTGTTCCAAATTAATTCACACAAGGTCTCTGACTGACTTATCATTTATGATTACAAGAAGAATTCCAAGGCCAATGTGACTATAAACAAGTTCTCTCCAAGTCAGACCAATCTGGGATGAAATATAACAACCTGGCCAAAGAAACTCAAGCATATCAAAATTGATTCAATTTTTGAGACATATAATAATGATAATAAGTATACATTTATATAGTGCAAACTTTAAGATGAATTTTCAGTTGCACTTTACAGTATTTCTAAAGGGAATTTAAAATCTGAAAATATTATTTTGAAATAATATTAAAACTAAGAAAACTATTTACATCAGGATAGCATTTAAGGCTTATAATGAAGGACCAATTCAAGAGTTAAAATTTATGTTAAGACTAAGTAAATAACATAATTATCTATTTAAAAGCTGATTTAAAAAGTGAGTTTTAACAGCAGTTTTAAAAGTGTCAAGTTTCTTATATGAATAGCAGCTGGTAGTGCATTCCAGAGACGTAAGGTGAATTCAAAGCTGACTGGAAGGCATGATTGCCAAGTGTAGGATGGTACTTTGTACCTGGTGACATGAGTTATGTACACTGACATATTTAGATCTTACCGAGTACCTAGATTGCCTTACAATGCGAGCTAGTGCAGTTGATGACACTAAGCTTCGTTGGTGCATATACCAAATTACAAAATGCCTAAATTTGGGTCTGCTCTTTGATTGGGTAGCTCTTTGATCAGATATATAATAGTGGAAGTATCATGCAATTGTATGACTACACCGTCATTCATAACTGTGTACAAACCAAAACAAAAAACGAAAGTATACTTAAATTATTACGGCATCACTTCAATGTCTCACTCTGGGTAAAATTTCAGGCCAATAAGGGTGCCTCTTGCCAGCAAGCCATCATGGTTCTTAGTGATGGGACAACGTCAAGTTTATCAGATCTTTTTGAAGAACAAAATCCAGACAAAAAGGTATATCCTGACAAAACTTTTATATGGTATGTTAATGACATTAAGCTTAAGCACTGTACCTCAGCTCCTTGTGAAATATTAAGTTATGGTAATTTGATACAAAAAAGTCACAATTTTATACTAATATGTACATTGTGTATATGTAATCAAACATGCTGATATGTGATATGTGATATTTAGGGAGTAATTTCATTTGTGTTTTGTCCAAATCCTAATAATTTCCCTTGCCTCCCTATCTTCCATAGTCTGCTACACAGCCGTTTCTAGTGTCGTTAGTGGGGAGGAGCGTTGCGTGACGACACTAACAACGGCTGTGTAGCAGACTATATCTTCCAGGGTGCAAAGAAAGTCAGTTTCGCAGCTTGCCATTTGGCCAAGCTTTATTTAGCATGTACTAGCCTAAGAGTTATTTTAAAGTCCGAGAAAAAAATATTTTGACACGGAGGATTGATAACAGTTCTTCTGTAATTTGAATTCCGGGCAAGTTAAGAACAGAACTTACATAGGCGTACGGGCAATTTTTTGCCAAGGGGGGGCGGTAATCCATTTGCCCAAAAAATTCTTGCAAGTTGCCCAAATTTTTACAAAACAGTCGAAAGGAAGCTAGGGCCATGCAACAAAATAGGCCTTACTGGCATATGAAAGTGGCTCGATACAGTTTTTCAGAGTCAATACCTGCCAAGTTTGAGCATAAACTACGTCGCCACAAACAAACATTTGGAAAAAATTGCCACCACAGTTGTATTAGATAAAGAGGGAAATTTGTCATGATCAGGGTTGCAATGACATCGGAGCTGTCATAGCAACGAAATGACGCCACTACCTATTATACTTGCAGCAATATTTCTCACTGGGAACTGTTCTTACAAAATCGTTCAGGGGAGCTCTTTCCTCCAATAGTCGCCTCGATGTTCGTGAAGTTAAAACGGAACCGTAAGAGCGTTATCGGGATATTTTGGGATGAAGTTTTTATTGTTAGCAATAAGGTAACAAAGGAAAATCTTGATGTTTAGTCGTAATCTGAAGAAAACGGAGCGCTTTTGACATGCAATTTCACCTCACAGTAGTTTCAATCTTTTTAAAAACGTGTGTGAAAGATCATGGAGATATCTCCTGCCAATTGCTATAAGGAAGGATTTGATTAGCGCTCGATCTTGTTAGGGGTTTTGTAAACATTTCGGTCTACTTAAACAAATTAGTGAATAATTTTTAAACCTCTCGATAGATTTTTTTAAAAAAATTAGGATTCTCCTCGTAATTCAAACTGGGAATTAGTCAGCCACTTCACTTTCAGACCCATTGCTGATGCGTGTTCTGCCACACACTGTTCAAGGAGCGGAGGTGATTCTAGAGAGTTATGCGCAAGTTTATTATAATCAATTCACGACTGGAAATAGCCCATTCCAGCTAGTACAGTGAAGTACAGTGCCCAACAATAAAAAAAATCAGCATATAATACCTTTCCCTTATAACCAGAAACTCATCACGTGCTAGGCAACTACTGTCTCGTGTGAACGTAAGTGAATTATTACGCCGACTTCTGGTTAAAATGGAAAATATTTATCTCTTCAAAATAGTAATAATAATAATGATAATAAACATGGAAACGTCTTTAAAAACTGGCTTTGCCCAAATTTTCTCTTGCTGCCCCAAAAATCTGCGTTGTCCAAACTTTGGGGGGGCTGCAGCCCCCCTCGCCCCCCCCGGTCCGTACGCCTATGAGAATTTATACCTGCCAACTATTTCGGAGTCATCTTGTCGTGATTGGAAGTTCCGAATATATCCAACTGTTTTCTGAATACTTCCAAATGTTGCCGAAAATACCCGAAGATGTTCTGATGATTTTCTGAAGACTTCCAAACGTTTTCCCATGATATATTGCAAACATTGGCTCAGTGGCCACAGCATTCTCGACCCCAGAGCATTAATGTTTCTGACTCTGCGAGTAAGGAGCTAGCTTCCCTCCCTGGCCGTCATGCGTAGAAGAGCTCTGAGGTCAAGATTGCGGCCACAGGCCACAGATATGGCTCAGTGTGAAGTTAACTTGCAAATGGGTAGGATTCTCCTTGCCAAGATTTATGGCACACAAATGTGATAACAGTTAATTGCCATATGATGAATTTTCAAAGATACCAATTGTTTTTATGCAAATGTAGAGTGTAATACTGTGATACATTAACATTCAGGTATAAATACTGCCATATCAGATATGAAAACGAAGGTGTTAATTCTGTTCTTGTTAAGGTTCGCATTTTTACTTTTGCTGTGGGTCCCCCTGCTGAAAGTACTGAAGCATTGCGGAAAATGGCTTGTAATAACAAAGGTGGGCATTACTTTGGTAAAATAATGTCATTTTTTTAAATATACTTCCTTGGATGTTACAACTCTCACAGGATTATGGTGATGTGACAAGTTGAGCTGCAAAAACCTGGAGCTCAGAATGTCAAAAATTTGAGCAAAGCACAATTTCTGCAAAAAAGTGAATTCCTGTGTAGGTAACAAGTCCTTACCTTATAACCTTTCCTGTTTTTAAGGGTACTTTACTCGTATTCAAAGTGTTGGAGCTGTTCGTGAAGTGAGTGAGGTACGTTGCATTCAGAAATTTGTGTAATCATATGCTTATGCAGTTCATGCTTTGAAACTAAACAGCAGCTAATAGTGTTCTAAAACCTGCTCCATAGTAAATCCAGTATCTTGCAACAGTTACGAGCAAACATATCTGACCATTGTTAAATCATTCAATGAGAATCCAAAGAGGGGCGGGGCAAGGGGTGTTTCTAAAACGAAGACCTAAGACCCCTTGGACTAAAACGAAGACCCCTTGGATTTAAACGAAGACCCCTTCGACTAAAACGAAGAGCCCATGGACTAAAACGAAGACCGCTTGGACTAAAACGAAAACCCCTTTGACTAAAACGAAGACGCCATGGACTAAAACATCATCAATAGAAAAAAAAAAAAGCGTTCGATCGACAGCATTACTCGAGTAAAGGTAAACATTTCGAGTTTCATTTAAGCGAGGTTGATTTGTCTTTATGCCGGGTTTTATTCGTTTTATTTTTATTTTCCTGTCATACGCTGTTACGATATTCTGTCCTCTATTGTTAAAAAAAGGACTCATCTTTACAGCTTAAACAGTTGTTTTTATGATAACTGTGTTAAAAAAACAATAATAAAAGAAAAAGAAGGAAAAAGACAAGGCAAAAAAACGCACGTCCGACAAGATTCGAACTTGGAACTTTTATCCCAACATCACGGTTTTCCCACAAAGCCACGGGGGCTCTCTCACCTTAAAAAAAAGCTTTAATTTAAATAAAACTGACGTCATCATCACCGTAAAATATTTTCAAAGAAACCTGAAGGAAAGGTAAGTGATAGACTTGATTATCACAAATAAATACTGCAGAGGAAATTCCACAACATTCCCAAATCGCCGTAACAAATTACGGGAGCGGGCATTGCCCTCAGCGGTTAGCATCAGTCGTTTTAGTCCATTGCGTCTTCGTTTTAGTCCAAGGGGTCTTCGTTTTAGTCCAAGGGGTCTTCGTTTTAGTCCAAGGATTCTTCGTTTTAGTCAAAGGGGACTTCGTTTTAGTCAAAGGGGTCTTCGTTTTAGTCCAAGGGGTCTTCGTTTTAGTCCATGGGGTCTTCGTTTTAGTCCATGGGGTCTTAGGTCTTGAGTCTTCGTTTTTGGGTCTTCGTTTTAGAAACACCCGCGGGGCAAGGTCAGTCAAACAAAAGCACCCCCTGTCCTTCAATGGGGTGGGGAGGGGCAGATAAGAGCATGTTACCAATAGCATTGCTGTTAAAGTGACTATACCAAGGATTCTGGTTAGTTAAAGTTAATTTGTAACTCTTAAGGGATTCAAGTTAAATATGCAGTAAATCTTTGTTGTAGAATTATATCCGTGCCTTGACCCGTCCTATGGCTATGGCTCCTAAAGAAAATATTACTGGCCATACAGTGTGGACTAGTGTTTATGCAGATGCCTTGGTAAGTAATAAGAATTGCAGGAAACTGGTACTTGTTGTTTGCCCAAGTTTTTCATGATCTTTGTGTGCATAATTAAACCTGAAGAGTCTGCATGGAGAGAGGACTAGATCAAACTGCCTGCAGTGCACCAAAACGATCACAACAGGATACATTTACATTATTCTAGACTAAGCTTAATAGGCTCTTTGCAATCATTCTTGATACTATACTGCAAGGCCAATGCAAGGTTGACAATGCAAGGTTTCGTTAGCTTTTCTCTCTTTGCTTTAAAAAAATGATTTGTGACACTTTTTCAAGCAAATATGTATGCATGATGTTAACACCAATGTATTTTTTGGTTGTTATTTTTTCAACAGGGACTTGGTTTGATGGTAACTGGTACACTACCAGTCTTTCACCGAATTAAGGACTCATCTAATTGTGCTGTAAGTACACTGAAAGTACGTCTTGTACACTAACAGCAAGTGTAGCAGGTTGGTATTAATGTAAGCATCTGTATTTAACATCACTATGTCTGACATTGATTTCAACCTACTCAGTGTGCCCCTATACAAATAAATGGGTCAGTTGTTACATCTTGTGATGCAGTAACTCCTTTTTAAATGCAATCTTGAGATTACTGTACCAAAAAATTCTCTGTCATTTGTGATGCTGGCGCCCTTTGTTTCCTTGTGAAAAGCACTGACTGCGGATGGATGACCATGGGCTCTAAGTATCTTGGTTTGCTCAGCCACTTGTGTCTTTTTGGAAAGCTTCGCTTTCTGAGGACTCCATCATTAGGTGATAATAATACCTATCCAAGCAACCAGTATCTGTATCCTTTGATGATAATTTAATTGATCTGACTTAATACATGATCACATAACATTATGAAAACATGCAAGGATGAAGAGAAAATAATGATGTGAAAATCATGAAGTAGAACCTCGATAACTCAAACTCTGAAGGGAAAAAAAAAATTGTCGAGTTTGCGGGGGTTTGAGTAATCGGGATCGACTGAATACCGATTATACAACAAGAAGAGCTGATGGAATGACATTCAATTGGAGTTCGAGTTATTAGGGTTAAATTTTTAGTGAACTTTTGATCAAGAGAAAGGAAATTGAAAAATGACTGAAAAGTGGGGTGAAATCCAAGGGAAATGGGACTTTGTTCGAGTTATCGGAGTTCTACCTTGTATTATAACTAGAGGACGAACAATAATTAAATGTAATTGTATTCACAGGTTTATAATGAACCAACTGAACTAAATGACCACCGTCCAGTTGGCTCGTTTTTAGCACAATTAGTAGAGCACCGTCAAAGCAACATTTGATTATTGAATCAAGACTGAGTTTGAATGTATTGGATTATAATTCATTTCACAAATGGATTATTTAATCTATGAATGGAAATCAATTTCCTATTAACGAATTCATTAGTCTATTAATGACGGAAATGCTTAACCGCTTTTGAGTGTAATTTTTTTCGTGCATTCATCTAAACAGGCAAAAGATGGAATGGAGCAGGAGGAGAGGACAAAAGATCACTTCTTAGGAGTCATGGCCACAGATGTTCCACTAGCTTACCTTCAAGGCTTCTTGTTACGACCTCTGGTTAGTTCAATAGCTACAACTACTGGTTTAAGTTCATCAGTCTCCTTTAATCCAATTGTACACCGTTGTACACGCCTAGCCTGTTCCAGCCTTCAAGATAGTAGTGTAGTCTTTCAGTAAAAAGCGATGCGAAAAACACCCGTGGGCGGGGGAGAGACACCAAACCCTTCCCCAGATGCTGGCTTGACTTGTTTTATTTGCGCAGCATCCCTGCTTTGGCACAGGCTTAAGAACACTCCTAAAAGTTCACATCTATGCTAGGGAGCTTAAGCGACGACGACATGGACGGCATCGAGAAAAAAGCAGTAGGTTTGATTAGCAAAACAACAACTTTGCACATGCCTCACCCCGACTACAACGTGAAAGTGCCTGAATTCACGTTTTGTCGAGGACGGGAACACAAGACAACAGCTTTCTTTTCTTTTCCTGAACTTTGATACAGTCCTTTAGAATTCAACTCCAAAAACATTTGCCAACATTTGACGAAGTAAACGAGATGGAATAAGCGCGATAAAGTTTGAAGCGGTGCGAATTCACTTTTTAAGTGACGTTTTTGTAGCCGTCGCCGTCGTTGTTGCTTAAGCTCCCTAATATGATATTATAACGAATTCCTTGGTAATTAGCCTGCTAAAGATTGTTTTCACCATGACGTCATCAAATTCTAAAATCAAAATAGCGAGGCCTTCAGAATTTTTATCTACACCAGGCTGAAGATGACCGAGAAATACATCTTTGTAGGAGTTTCTAGCCCCATAACGTCTTTCATTTTGAAAATACACCAATTTGATTTTCTGAATTTTCACAGTGTATGACACTAGGGTGGTAGCCTCGGCAGAGATGTGTGGTTAAAAAAAAGCTCCCACTTATCATTTTCAAAATAATTTAAGCAGTAAAAAAATGCTTCTTTCGTTGAACGGCTTCAAAGTTGTTTTTCATTGCATGACAGGAAAACATCCTATACAGACATTCTTTTGTCTTATCATGCGATTTCTCCTCCCAACTATGTGCGACAAAGCCCTAAGAGTTATAGTTACTGCATTGGAGACTATGTGGTAAAACAATATATATTCACTGGAAACTGGATATGAGTCTTTTGATTTCCTTTAGGTTGGACCCAGTGGATATATATTTGCAGTTAATAACAATGGAATGATAATATTTCACCCACGATTAGAAATGGTGGTAGGAATTTACTAAATAACACAATTTTGTTTTATTTTGTTTTGTTTTTTTTGTTTGCAACCCTTCAGTTACTCAGGGGCACCCAACTTCAATTTTCGGAAAATATCTGTTCGGAAGACGATTTGAGATCTAGAGTTTTCGGAACATTTGTTGTAAAATTTCTTGCTTGCCTGCATCTCTTAGGATTTTCGAACATTTAAAAAATGGTATAATTGCCCATTTTTCACGGATTTTTACCCTAAAAAGATCACCTAAAATTTTCCGGAGCCTTTTTTCTGGCTGAACTTTTCGAAAAGGTAAGTTTTGATCCCTATAATTTTCGGATCACTACACTTCCATCTATGAAATCCGAACAGATGAAAAATTTTTAGGGGATAAAAATATGCCCATATCTACCGTTTAAATACTAAAATACGTTTAACAATGCTGTGTTCAAGTGGTTTTGAACTATATTCTCGTTGGGTGTCCCTGGTTACTCACTCTATTTCGACTCTATTCAAGTGACTGTTAACAGTAATGTTTATTGAAGAAAACATTAGAGTCCTGCAAATATCAGTTGTTGTTTTAGGCAGTTTGCTCTGGTGCTGGTGAAATTATTCCTATATTCCCGTTATTGTATACTTACAAACCCCAAACAGGAAATAGCCTAAAAATTGTCACTTTTTCATTGAATGATACCTTTTCTTCAATTTCTCATTTTTTCCCAGAGGACGCATCCCGAGATTGATTTCTTTATATTTCAATGTTTTTTCTAGCATGGGTACTTACAGGATCCCCCCGGTGTCGAACTTACTTATGTGGAGTCAGCAAAAAATAACAGTAATGTTCTTGAGGTACTGTGTTCAATACATCTTAGGGTAGACGGGAACATCAAATCAAATCAAATCAAAAATCCATTCTCTTAATAGTTACATTATGCAAGGCAAAATAAATAAGGAGAACGTATACTCCGGGGGGCAGGGGGGCAGGGGGGCAGCTATTCCCATGAATTTCGGATTGGTGGGTGCCGCCCAAGGCCCTAAACCCTGACCCTTTTTAAGGATGAGAGAAACGAACATTTATACCTTAATTGAGGCCCAAACCCGAAAAATGACATCCTGTTCAAGGGAAAAGCAAACACGAAGAATTAAATGGCGACAAACAAACGCTTGTTAAATCGTTTTGCTGATACTTTAACGGGCGGTTCAGTTTTAATAGATGATGGGTTTCTCTTGTAGTTGGACATTTACGCACTAGAATTTTAGCTGATACAATTTCGGTACCTTATCTAAGGATCACGCCGGGAACACAATCCCAAACAAGAGCAAAAATGATCCCCTACTTAAGGGTCGACTCTCAAAAACCATAAACCTTATCTGGCGGCACATACCAAGGGAGTACACCCCCGGGCGTATACTACAATTACAAACAAAAACCTTCAAAGACTTCAAACACTTTTAGAAATTTCGCTTCCTCTCAATTCCCCGCTCCTTTTTGCAATGTTTTTGTAGCAGCATAATAATTTTGCAATCACATTTCAACATTGTAGAGGGAAAGCAAATTGCATGGGTATTTTAAGGATTTTTGGCGAGTATTGCAGGTGTGAACGAGAGGCAAATAATAATTTTGTAATTTTGTAAGTCCTTTAGTCAGATTGTTCATCTCTTCCTAAACCAGTTCAGAGTTTTTTAATTTCACGTTACACATCCTTTTCCGCCTTGAATCAGTGTGTTGTTACAAAGAATCATACTCTGTCCTATTCTCAAGGCATCCGGGCAATATGTGTTACCATATCCTGCATAGTTTGTAGATGAAGTTTCTTTTGCCGCACTCGAGTAAGAACGTCAGCTAAGTGGTGAAAGCACATTCTTGAAATTCATTTGTTGTTCTCTGCACAGCTCAGAAAAGCTATTATTGACACAGTTCCTGTTAGCGATTCACCTCATGGAAGTGGCGTTAAGAGCCAGTCATTTGAAGGCTATCATCTGTCAGTGGACCAGGTGTGATAGTTTTAAATCCTTAACCCATAAGAGTGATAAGAGCGTCCGGTTCTTCCTTTTCATAGCACTGCCCATCAAACTTCGTGACAATTCCAAACAGAGGATCGTCAGAGATAAAATGCGTTGAATTTTGACATTCTGTTGAGTGATAGCCAAAGGAATATAGTGTGAAATGTATATATGTCATTATTATATAAACACCAGTGAAATACCTGGTGAGCTTTCGCGCAAAAACGTGATATGTTCACGTGTGAAAATAACACCTTTGCTATGGCTACATAATAAATCGCGCCTTTTACCCAAAAAAACTATAAAAGTAAAATGGTTTGGTATTTCATTGGTGTTTACATAATAAATAGAACATTACTTGGCCGCTTGGAGATACGAAATTTCTCTTCTCGTGTTGAAAAAATATTTCACTCGTTCGCTGCGCTCACTCGTGAAATATTTTTCAACACTCGAAGAGAAATTTCGTATCTCCGTGCGGCCATGTAATATCCTCTATTTATTAGGTGTAATACACTACTACAATCAGACACACTTGTTACTATATTAAAGTGCAGTCACTGTTTAGAAGGTGCTTTGTTTTGGTACTGCAACCTCATTGTTAATGTTTTATCCATTGCTGACCAAAGAGAAAAACGTTTTTAAGGTAAAGTATGTTACTCACCAATAATATCATTACAGGTGCGAGTTATGAAACATACCCTGAATTACTACTTTGATGGGTTGAAAGGAACATCATTTAGGTAACACAACTATTTAAATCATTGGTACTTTCTTAAAAATACAGTGTGCTTTTCTTACCTCATCCACTTGTTTCATAACATCTTGTTAGTAAGTGTAAGAAGGAACAGAAGGGAATCTTCCATGTTTAGTTGGGGGAGGGGGGTGAAGACTCAACATGCAAAACATTAAGTAACAGCTTTGGCAGATGAAACACAAGATATCTGCTTTCTTTTTTTTTGAGTGATGTAGGAAGACACTGCAGGAAAATTGGATTAAAAAAACCTGAAAATGCCAAAACGTTATAAATCAATTGGTCAATAAGTTATTTTTCAGCCAAAGAAAAGGCCAAATTTACTAGTCTAAAAGTATGCTTTTTTTTCTGTTGCTCCTATAAAGTCTTGTTGTGGCAACTCCTCAGCTGGGATACAAGTATATTCTGACAGGCTACACAGATCATGATGTGATTAGTAAGTTGAAGTTGTAAATTGACTAACCTTTGATCTTGTGTCCTTTTTTCCTTTTCTTTACCCGTGCACCAACTCTTCCGCTCCCCCAAAAAGGGAACGCCTGATCCGGTGCGAGGTATTAAATCACTCGCCTTCGGCTCGTGATTTACAAGCTTTTTCGTATTCTCCCAACATCCCAAGTGGGTTATCACGCCTGTAAACCCATAGAAAGTGTGGTCTATTGCTTTTATAAAATAACTTAAAGTAAACTATAAGTTTACCAGCAAAATAAAAAACAGGTTTTTAACCAATCAGAACGCGCGTACTATCTTAGTTATTTTGTAAAAACTGACAAACATCATGGCCAAAAAATAACGTCATGGTTCCTTTCATTTAAATGGTCTCTTTTAGTCAATATTATTAACTGACCACGTGAAAAGTAAAAAAGAGACTGTAACAAGGTTATTTTTTTGGCAATTTTTTCTTTAGGTTCTTGTCATTTCACTTCTGTTGTTTGGTTAGACTCTGGTTATACTCTGCATTTTCAATGCATTATTGAACAATCTCACAGTATTACACACAAATCCATAGTTTAGCATTAATGCAAAATACATAGGACAGATTGCCCAAACCATTTAATTGTCATTGATTTAGGTCTATTTACTTGATTTGTACTCTGCCATATTTGTGTTTTCTGTGAGTGTAAATCTCGCTTTCTCATTTGTAGTGGTTGTTTCTTTCAGCTGAGCTACATGACCTATTGTCTAAAGAAAATGACATCAGTGTCGAGAGGTGGTAAGTACGTCACTGGTGAATGTGTATATGTGAATGCAATGTGAACTTACAGTAAGTGAATCACATGTCTTTTTTTTGGTGCTAATTCAGACTGACTGGTGTACATGTGCTTCCTTGTCTTTGTCACAGGCCATACTGCAAAAATGTAATGACTGCCCAAACAAGTCCGTTAGAGGCACTGATCCATTCTACCCAAGCTGGAGATGCAACACTTTGTAAGAAACTTAATTTAAAATATTGTGTTAAATATATAAAATAAGTGGTTTAACAACCTATGGAGATTGTAAACCCGGAACCTATTTCTATCTTATGATTAGCATGCCATGTTTTCCAGCTTGTTGTCCTTAATCTGTAATTCCGTCAGCCTCTTTACCATGCCCCTAACAGTTATGATCAGCTCTTTTGAATAAAACTGTTAACTTTATGAGTAGATCTAGTAAATCAATTATTTAGTATACTTAGGTTTCATCGTTCCCTTGTTCATATGCGAGGCAGTGGAGACTGATATAAACTCGATTATGGGATATGATCAAAGGAGTCATTACTTCGTATCTCTGCCTCTACTCATCTGCCGCGGCAAAAATGCATCTTAAATTCGTTAATCACTGACAAAATCACGCGCTAATTACAAAACGTTTATTGATATTTTTTGCAACGTTGATAACGGCTGAACGTCGTATCTTTCATTTGCTAATAAGATGTGTGATCGGTTATACAAGGTAACAACAGTGAATTACTCAGTGGTCTGCTGGTTGATGTCAACGCTACATCTAACATGCCAGCAGTTTGGAAACAGAAGTCAATGTAAGTTTAAGACTGATTAGTAATGGTTTACTTAGCACGCATCGGTTGTTCATATGTTGGAAAGCGCTATCCACAGGATAAATCGGTATCCAGTAGTCAAGTGATAGGGAAACCAAGTGCGTTTTCCACTGGATACAGTAGATGGCGTTATCCACCTTTTGAACACTGAACTGGGGCCTAAGGCGTGATAGTCTGGTATTTGACGTTGAGCTACAGATCTGATGAGCTGGGTTTGACTAGCCTCGACCCTGTGATTGCGTAGTTTCTGTAGAGCTATTGGACTTGGAATTTTGCGTCACATTGTCTTCTTTACACGGGCTTATATATCAGCACTAACAGCCACCTTGCAAACAGAGCCTTCTTTGCTTTCTTCTTCTTGATCGAGGAGGAGAAAAGGAGTTTCTCACTAAATCGCGTCAAGCCTTTGAAGTCGCCGCAGTTTGAACTTCTGAACTAGTCAATCTTGTCTTTTCTCATTAAACTGGTTTTTCGAGTCCGCGCACAGGGTTCGCACGGGTCATGGAAAACCTGAAAATTAAGGAATTTGAGAATTTCATTTTCCAGGCTTGGAAAGTCATGGAAAATTTAAGTTTTGTATGTTAGATTAGTTACTGCAGATGACAAAGCAAGGACAATGTAAGACAGAGAGGAGTGATTGAACAGCGCGAACGGCACACATTTAGGTGGAAACCAAAGTTGGTTTCTGTTGAACTGTTGAAGGTCAAAAATACCCTAAAACACAAAAGCTTTAAAAGTTTGTAGAAGTGAAGCTAAACCGAAGGTGATGGAAATAGTCATCGAAAGTCCTGGAATTTGAAGAGCTTAAAAGAGAACAAACCCTGAGCGCATCCATTTATTGTTAAACCGATGGTCTTAACTGAGCCCGCTGTACCAAGCGTACAGCTATTAGGTCTGGATTCGAAAATGTATCCTAGGAACATGCAGCGCATGCTCAACAATGATTCATCTCTTTCTTGAAAAAGGTCCTTCTTCTTATGTGGCCCTTATTGGACATATCCTAGAATAAACCGTGAATTTTGCTTTGTGATTTGCATGTTTGTTGATTTCTTACGTTGTTGGTATTTAGATACCCCTAGGAGTCGAGCTACGGTCACAGCCGTAGAAAATTGCGTCATCTTTATTTTCGCCGGTATTTTCAATCTGTTCGTGGAAAAATGATACGCATTCGTTGATAAAGCCTTTCCTTTCAGTTCCCCAGGTGTTAAGGAGGTGTTTGTGCGGACATTCTGGGGTTTAACTCGGTACCTCAGGTGAGTATAAAAACATTTTATATGTAGAATGTATATCTCCAGCCACAGACGTAAATGCTTTTTTTTTTCATAAAAAATTTATCCTTTTTTCAAAAGATTGTAATGTAACTACACCGCAGCAAATACTTCCTTAGCCTGAGGAAACGGCCGACATTTTGGGATGTCACCACTTCTTTGCCCGCGAAATGACTTCTGAGGAACGGGCGCAGAAATTCCATACTGATGACGCGTTACTACCCACATCTGGATAGTGCTTCTGATTGTTTGAAATTTGCTTCAACCAATCAGAAACTGAAGCACTACCCAGGTTTAAGTAGTGACGCGTCATCAGTATGGAATTTCTGCAGTCGACCCGCAGACTTCATTTTGCTGGGAAAAAAGTGGCGGCGTCGGGAATCTCGGCTGTTTTCTTAGGTTAACACTACCAACTCAGTAAAGCAGGACACAATGTCAGACCCAAAAGTTAAAGTAAAATAGGGTCGAGGAAATAGCTATATCTAGTTGAGTACTTACTTTGCCATATAAGGAATTTCATCCTTTATAAAAGGGGTAAGCTTATTGTTTATTGCCTATTGTTTATTTATTTTATTTTCACGTTAAGTCTTCAGCAGAATAAGCTTGGTTACTCTTCACAAGGCGACTTCCTGGAAAGTGTGTTTGCATCACAGATTCCTAATACTTCAGTTGTATTTTCATCGCCATATCTTGCAGGTTTGGAAACATTTTATAGTTCGCAAAGTCCTAAGTAATTGTCAAGGATCGAAATAAACTTGAATTCAAGCTTGTCCCTCACATTAAGCTTGCTAGCAGCCATTGCTTGCGTGTCGTAAGTTACAAAACGACTGACCTAGACCCTTGCTCATTGGACAAGTGTGGCAGCTTTTAAAAAAAACGTTCATTGCCGAGCAAGAAAGTGTGCTTGATGACTAAACGGTACTTTTTCGAGCTCTGCTTGTGCCAACTTATTTCTCTCTGAGTTGCTTTTGCCTTGTTTCTTGTCCAAAATCATTTTGTTCTCATTTTACGTTTCAGCAAAGTCAGAGAAAAACACTACATCTGTGTTTGCTTACAAGAGAATATATAAAAACCATAGACCGGCAGCAGGTAAGAAGCAATGTAGACTGGGGAGGGTGGGGTAAAGTCAGTAAATGTCATTGTGACCCAAATAAAAATACAATATATCTAACTACGGTGATTTTTTTTCTGGCATAGCACTAAATCTTGAAAAGGTTAGCTCAACTCTTTCAAGTTCTAATCAGCCATGTCCATCCTTGCCATTTGTTGCAACAGTGGACAGGAAATGCTTTCAATGTCTAAATACAGTCTCAAATAACCAAACTGAACCATTATTTCTGAAATTCAATCGATGCGAAAAAAGTGTTATTATTCCACTCTTTCTATCTACATTTGAGATTATTACATTGGGTTTTTACTCACTCTTAAGTATATTGCGTAGTTGATGCTTTACTAAAGTGCTGGGTATTTTTCAGTGCTAGGATATGAAATGGATATGGCTAAATTCACCAGGGATATTTTCGTAAAAAATACCAAGGTAAAGTAGTGATTTTCGTTTAGACAGCTAGTATCGCAACATTTCCTGTGATCTGAAAGATGTGATAATAGGTCACGAGCGTGTGACAACTAAAAGGCTTTGGTCCTCTGACAGGATTCTAACCTATGATCTCCCATTTATCGGGCAAGCGCTTTGTCCACAGAGCTACGGAGAGACTCTTGCAGAGCAGCTACATATACTGGGTTGTAATTGATGTTTATTTGCTTTATTTGCTTGCTCTTGACAAGGTTGGTGGATTCTTTGTAAGCTTTCTTGATGGGTCAGCTATTCAGCAAAACGGAGAACTTCATACGATTGTGTTTGTTGCTTCGGTTTGTTGCCCTGTAATTAGACTATTAAGTTAGTGTCGATATAGATTAAAGTGACTCTGGATGTTGGTGGTGTGTGCGCAATTCATTTTTTGTGTTCAGACATCGAAAAACGTCTATGCATCAAATCAAAGATGTAATATGTTGCTTTAGATTCAAAATAAACCCTGTCAGACTGTAGGCCTCGATGCAAGCTGAGAACAAAATACCGCTGTCGCCTTGTGCACCAGTAAACGCGTGGTAGTTGATGCATGCATCCCAACACCTTTACATGTCCAAACAAAATATGTTTTCTTTTGGATTAGTGCACAGGTGGAGATTGCGAGAGTGTGCCGGATTGTGACAGAACTGGCAAGAACGAAGTAAGTATCAGCTTAACACAATGTAGTTAAAAATACAACAAAGTTGGAACAAAGTGATCAAAGCTGCCTGGCCCCCGCCTCCGACCCCCTTTAGAGTTTGATGTGGGGCTACAGTCAGCCCACAGCAGTCCGGCAAAGTGTTTGTACAGTGCCGCAAATGATCCCAACGACAAACAGTGGAGATCATTTGCGGTCGAGCTGGATCATTCGCGGTCCTGCACAGGTCTGCGAACTTGATCTATTAATTCTACTATTTGCTCTTCGCAAAAAAAAAAAATAGCCTGCGTAGCAGGCGCTTGGAAGTAGTGGGCCTGCTACGTAGGCTAAAAAAGAAACGGTTTTCTTTACTGAGTTACTCTTTTATTTCCGGGTTATGAGTCAACAGGTTCTGACAAACAGTACTGTATGCAGCAAATTTAGATAGTAAAATTTGGATTTTGTGATCAAATTATAGAGGGCTTAACCTCTAAAAAGATATTTCATGGTTTTATACATAAATGTTTGTGCCCTGAAAATGTCGTAAACTAGCGGCACAAATAAGGTAAATATTTCTTTACACATTATATAATGTAATAGTTTTGTGCATATCTTTTTTCAAATAGTTTGAGGGTTTGTTCTGTTATCTTCTTGATGAAAACGGCTTTGTTGTGGCTGGCAATGATGGAAGTGTAAGTGTCTTCTTATACCAGAAGTTTTTAGTTCATTTTACTGTAAAGATTAAAACATATGATTAACATCTGTCCAGGATTCGGGTCTGGACCTAACGTTATAGTTAGTACATATCGAGAACCACCTTAGCAAAAGAACGAAAATGAAAGGAAAAGAAAACGTCACAAGTGAATTCCTTGTTACTTAGCGGATTCTTCTCTTTAAATTCCCTCTTATTAACAGAAGGATTTTACCTATGATATCGTGGGTGGCAAATTGCTCCTAAATTTTGGCGCGAAATTTCAGCGTTAATTTTAATTTCAAATGTAAAATAACAAAATTGTCATTGTAACGTTATGTGTATCTCAGTAGCAAGATGGCGTCTAGGTTTAATATTGGTTGACAGGGCATAAAAGATGCTGTAGAAAATAAAAAAATAAACACACGAACGAGCGCAAGTTTTCTTTATTTTTTAGTCTTTTCAATTTTTCAACTATTCTTACGCGTATTTTGACAAAAAGTTCAGAAAACAGTGAACTTTAAATGTTAATACGTTACACTTTTTAGTGCGTTGAGTTCCTGATTCAATGAACAAGTCAAAACTCATGATTGTGAGCTTAATTTGTTACCTATGATATTAATAGTTAATCAGATAGTATACTATTCGTAGGAAATAATTTCACTTGCGTTTTGTCAAAATACTAGTAATTAGAATTCTGACAAAAAAGGGTCACAATTTGATTATGCATACTTATTTTTCTTTTTTATATACATATATGTAAGAAAGAAACCTCTGGCACGAGGGTCTAAGTTTCCCTTTTTTGTGTGTAAGGAAATAGTTCAGGAGATTGATCAGATTTTAAACAGTCTGTTTGTCTGTTTTGACTTTCAGTCTGCCGGTAAGTTTTTTGGTCGAGTAGATGCGCCTGTTATGCAGACTTTGATTCGTCAGGACGAAAATAGTACCAGTGGAGTGTACAACAAGTAAGTTGACGTCAAACGTGAATAATAGGGACCTTTTTGATAGTGTCCTGCGTTGCCGGCGGAATTGTGATGTGCGCGGTATCGCGCGGGTCCGCGCGGTGTACTTTCTCGGCGGCGGAGCATTTGACTTGCTCCCAATCTTCTCGCCGCTCCGCTGCCAAAAGAATAGTGAACTTACGCAACAGAACGGGAGAGGAAAGAAGACGACAAACCTTGTGTGACAAGCGTCACTGCAATTTTGTTTCAAATGATTTTACGCCAAACTTCACTTTCCTTTAAACAGATGTGTTTGCAAAGACCAGAAAAGACAGAAAACATAAATGTTGAGTGAGGATCACGACATACCACGCAAGTAATAGCCCTGTCACGTTTGTCACACACAAGCGTTTTGCCCCTACCGTCCTGTTGCGTAAACTCACTAATAACAGCACTCGCACGGGGACTCCCGCCAGCTACAAAAACTGGGACCTTACCATCTCACAACGCAACGGCGACGCCAGTGAAAAAGTCACTGAAAAAAACTTACTTAGCGTCCTTTCAAACTATTTCATGATAATTCCAGTTCGATCTTTTAAAAGTTTGGAATTTATGCTGGAGCTGAAGAGAGTGGACAACTTCATCGTTGTTATTCCATGTCGTTCACTTTGTCAATTGTTGTTGAATTTTTCTGGAGTTGAATCGTGAAGCACTGTATCTAAGTTAGGGACAAGAATTTTTCAAAAAATCGAAATGTTGATTGTCTTTTTTTAAAATCCCTCAGAGTGGTGTTAACAGATTATCAAGCACTGTGTGAAGAGAAAAGTGGTGTTAATAGCAGGGGGACCTCATTTTTACTGAAGGTTAGAATGTATTAAATCATAGGGTGGATTCATTTGCAAGATACACGTGTAGCTGTCACATTTGCCTCATTTAATCAAGGATATAATGCTCCCATTTTCTTTTTCAGCCTTTATTATCACTTTCAGCATACACTGAATGGTGGACGACCAAAGCTGTATGGTGTGTTCTTTAAGTGCTGTATTACCCTTTTGCACGTAAAACCTTACTATTTTGTTAAAAAGTGCCAGTATGGATAAAGACCCTCTCTTTTTTAATCTTTATCCTGGTCAAGCTTTATTTGTCACCGCAGAAAAACGCTAGTTGTTCGTCAGAGTGAATAACCTCTTGTTAGTTAGACAAGTAACAAGTGCTTTCTTCTGTTTTTTTGTTGCTTGATTTTAACAACTGTTATTTCCGTCTTTAATCCCTTAATAGGTCTTTGCTCTATTTCAACTTGTATAGGTAAGTGGGATATACTGTTGTTGTAGCGGACGTAAGGAATTTAACCTCCAGCTTTAAAGCGGGCAAAAATCCTAAAGATCCTCTAGACACAAGTAATCGTCGAAAAACAATGGAAATACTTCTGTGACACTCACGCGGGCTTTGCAGGTTTTTAGTCTGCGCAAACTTGAGCACAGTGCGCAGTGCACTGTGGATGGACTTGGGCCGCAAAGGAGTAGTGTCATGATTTGTTTGTCATGACGAGTGCGATATAACTGAAAATCCATTAGAAGTGACCGCGTCAATGGAAATCCACTCTCGCTAAATCTTGCATTACTAACACATAAACGAACGACAGGTAGGAAGCAAGCAGAGTGTTTCATTGAAAAAAAAAAACGAGGCGACGTTCTCATTGTATAGTGTTGTTTGGTTGAAGTTTTTTTGTTTGTTGTTGTTATTGTTGTTTTGGAGGGGTGATTCCTCTTTGGAGACTGAACTGATGTACTTCTTTTGTTTTTCGGACCCAGTTTGGGGATCAGTGGGTGTACGTTGAAATTCAGGTTCAAGATGACAATGTCATTATTTTCTGGTCTTTAAACTCGCACAGTAGAAGTAAACATCAAATAAACTAGTTTTGATTATTTTTTTCCCAGCTGGATTTTCTCTGAGAACGAGGCAGTTACAGGTATTGATGTTGTTTTTCGTAATTGTAACGATACTGTCCTGTACCAAACAGGCAAAGCCCTACGAAGCATTACTAAGCAGTCTTGTATTATCATTTGCAGAGGCTACAGACGATGTTCCAAAGAATATAAGCTGTGTGAAAAGAATAACTACATATTATTCTACGAAGGAGAATATTTCGGAGGAGGGTAAGCGTGATAAAGCATACATATAGATGTAATTGTACCCATGACTTACTTTATTCAGAAGGTAGCCCGGGAATACATCCGTCTGTCCTCGCTCCTGGCCGCTAAGGATGTTTCAGGAGAGAGGAGAGACGTCTGTATTCGCAGGCTAGAAAGAAGGCAAAACCAGAAAATTAGCACAATTTTTCTACTGATACTGAATTATTAAACTCTTCAAATGGTTATTCAAAGTAGCTGACTTACAGTTTTCTTTCTTTCTTTTAACAGGAACAACTACTTGCAATAATTGCGAGAGGTAAGGTTTTGAAATAGCAAAAAGGACAAGCTTTATGATGTGTACTCTTATGATGATTTTTCTTCCCTGTTTTGTTTATCAGGTGGCATGCACTATCAAGTGTTCCAAACACTAATCTGTTGCTGGTGGTGATTGGTCATGAGGGTCCTGAATGTGGACCGTGCTCTCAGTCTGTCCAGGGTATGGCAATTCCAGGTGAACCAACGGAAAATATCCTTTCACATTTGGCCACCCCCAACAACAAATAATACTAGCTGTCGTAATCAAGATACTCAATCAAATTCATCATCATTTAAATTTTTCGTTATTTACATCTTATCATTGAGACACTCCTCAAATGATTGTCCAGAAACTGCTAAGTGGTCAATGTTCCAGTAAGTATGTATGGGGTGGTTACAGTGTAAGTTTTATTCAAGTTGCATTTTAAATAAAGTCAGACCTGTATTAATTGGATAGAAGCATCAGTAAAGTGCCCATGTGTCAAGCAGACCGTCACTACGGAGCTCCCTATGTGTGTCCTCGTTTAATATACCGTAAAATTCCGAAAATAAGCCCCGGGGCTTATATTTTTCAAAGGCCCATTTTGATGGGCTTATTTTTGGAGGGGCTTACATTCGGAGGGGCTTATCTACGGAGGGAAATTTGCGTTTCAAAATCGATTGGGCTAGCCTTATTGTTGGAAGTAAATTTACCGTTTTTGCTTTGTTTTACCCCGGGGGGCTTATATTTGGAAGGGTGATTTAACAGAGGGTTTTTGGCGTTACAGCTTTGATTGGCTTAGTTTTGGAGGGGCTTATTTTCGGAATTTTACGGTACTTTTTTTTATAATCGTTCATTTATAATGGTGCTACAGAGTCACTCAGATACTCATCTGTAAATGCTTATTATCGAATCGTGCTCAGTAATTCTTCACTCGTGTTTTGCATTAAATTTTAAGAAGGAATACTATGCTTTTATAACTTTGATTTCCATAGACCTTAACATATGTATTGTGTGAACGAATTCCAGACTCAAATGATTTTGACATTAGAAGCAAAATAACCTGAAATTTTCTCGTAATTGTTGAATCTACTCCTCTCTGTTAGTGGTTGTTTAGTTGTTGTCATTCGATTCTGCTGAGCAGCAGCTATGCTGGCTGCAGGCTGCTTTTGATGGACGCCATATCATTGTTTGATTTTCCTTGACAACCTTACTTTCCTCTGAGCCAGAACCTGTATGCAAGGAACCTGAATACCGCAGGCGACCCAAGAGATGCTTCGTATCAACTAACTCTGTAAGTTAACGAATCAGGTTAATAACTGAATTTCAATACTATCAACTTGCGATACCGCACAATTCACTTTGACTTTGGTGGTGTCTCCCGTATCGGTTGCCGTAGCCCCTGAGAAAGTAGCCAATATTTCACGTCGCCACTAGCGGCCTCCCCGCGAAATGACGTCTGAGGAATGAGCAAAGAAATTGCTTGTCAACAACAGTCTCATTCAGAACTACACTCATCCGTAGGATCATGTTCAAACTGCTGACATGGCAGAACTGGGATCAAACAATTAACAATGACGTCTACAAATTGCTCGTGCACACGAAACGTAGCAATTATTTTAGTTTTCACCTTTTATTTGTTTTCTACTTTTTTTACAGGAAACAGGCTATATGTGTGGTGATAGTCCATTAACAAGGCCGTCTGTTCAAGTTGTGTCAGTCCATTTCTTATTTATTTTTACATTGTGGCAAATGATTGGCTTATTCTGATAATGCAGCCTTTCAAGACACGTTAACGAACCCAGGAGGTTCTCCGTTAATCCATAATTTCCAGGACAGTTACGCGAAAATACTCCAGTTTTCTGCTTGGATTTGATGATTACGATGAGTGCAAGCAAGCACCGCAGTGCAAGTGTTGCCAGGGACATCATGGCTGATAAACAACAATCTGATGTTTCTGCACTTTCCATGCTTGTTTTACGATGTGTACATAGACTTTCTTTATTGAATATTGTGGTATTTCACAAGATGTAATTTATTAATATTTGCCCAGGTAAATGCGGGGCATTTGAGATAATTGTCAATCGCCATTTTAGTTTTTACTGTGATTTTTATTCTACGAAATGTTGAATTCGACTGAGTATTGTTTAATTTATTTGTGTTGTAAATGTTTTAAAGAAAATGGAATTGTTTCCACTGTTGTACATTTTTAGGTATTTTATCGTCGTCGCTTGAGATACCACGGAGATATTTTAAATAAGCCTTTAAGTGAAGATTATTTCTTTCATTTTAGTGTCAAAATAAATCTTTCAAGTTAAATATAAACAAAAGTATATATTTTACACTATGGTAAAGTTCAAAATTTGGAAAAGCCAGTGGTTGTTTCTTTATTAGATTTAAGTTAAGGTTATTTAAACAAGAAGAAACTTGCGTTATATAGTTAAGAAATCGGGACGCAATCGACTGGATATATTCTTTGTTCAACAGAAAAACTCGACTTTATTGAACACTTAAAATACTGAACAAAATATTTATTTATTCTTACCATAATTCTTAAGTTTTTGTCAACGTAGCTTTAGCTAAAATTCCGCCATGTTTCGACGGATGTAATGCCTTAATGAATTATTGACGTGATCTTGAAATTTTCTTTAGTTGATTGATGCATTTCTTTACAATCAGAAAAACAAGCAAATAAAAAATTGTCAAGTCTCAATTATATTATTGTCTTATTTTGTACCTGGTAAGCGGCTACCTGACCTTCACTCTGTAAAGGTAAATGCCCTTAGTCAAATGACTAGTCAGATCCTCTTCTAAGAGTGGAGTCATCTAATGTCCTAGCTGAATGTTCTATTGCTGGTAAAATCTTACAGCTACCGGGTGCACATCGCAACAAGCGGCGCCTTACGCTAGAGTCACTTGTAATGTTATACCAAAACTTCTGCTTATTTTCCCTGGGTTTATACATCTTCGTAAGGGGTTTTTAGGAGGCCTTTTAAACGGACGGGCTTACATCCAAAGGGGCTTAGAAACAGAACGAGACAAATTTTGTCTCAAGTAATATGTACAAGCTACCAAGAGAGGATAAAGGGGACAGAGAAGGCATCCCCCATACACACCCTATTCCATAGGTAATTCGTTTCGAGTTATTTTTAGAATCGGGATAAAGTTACCTCGCGCGCCGCGTGGGTATTTCGTGGAGGTTTCGCATGACTAAACGCCGTGCAAAACATGTTGGGCGAAACGCCATGAAAGCGTAAAGAGATCCAGAGCATTCCTGAATATTGAAATGAGTCGGCGCTAACCTGGAAAAAGGGAATCGCTGAACTCTTTGACAACCCGTGAAATCAGTTTAACTCGAAGTTGTCGTAACCTCAGTGCTTTAATAAAATGAGAAATTTCGCCGGTCTATTGAAACCGGTCGTTTGCACAATAAAGCAAGTAGGACGCCAAGTGTTATTTTTGTTGAATAATAAAAGAATAAATATCAAACCAGAAATTACTCTCTTCAAACTGTAAATTATAAATGATCCTGAGAGAATATTCAGTGTGTTAAGGATCTCCCTGCTGTACTGTTAGCTCTATACAAGAGAGGAAGGGCGATTCTTTTTTAATTTCTGTTTCGCTGACACAGCTTTAGTAGAAATCTCTCTGTAGTCGTTTTCGTCGACCAAACGAATAGCAATATTGCTCTCCGCGTCTTCCGCCATTTTGTTCTGCGTCAATTCGTGAAGGACGCGTACCTCTTAGCGTGGGTCATCCACGCGGAACACATTCGCGCTATGTGATTGGCTGTTGTCTAATACCCCTTGAGATCTGTGGTGTTAAAAATAACTCGAGACGAATTACCTATGAAATAGGGTGTGTATGGGGGATGCCCTCTCTGTCCCCTTTATCCTCTCTTGAAGCTACCCATAGCTAGGGGAAGAAATTGTGCTACTTCCAGTCATCCAATGCTTCTATCCCAGCAAAGAAAGGTTGAACAAGGTTATGGTTAAATGGTTGTAGAAAAATCATTTAATCATTAAATAATAATAATAATAATAATAATAATAATAATAATAATAATAATAATAATAATAATAATAATAATAAAGTAACAGAGAGAGCTACGGTGACAAGGACGCAAAAGATCTGCATGCTGGGATCTACCCGAATCCTTAGGAAGGTGCTTAGTGTATGGACAGAATGATTGACTCCAGTCAGTGACTGATGCTCCAGGTGCATGCTTTGTGCATGGCTGATCCACAAAAAGAACACCAGCAAAGACTGTGAAAGAAGAGATAAATAATAATAATAATAATAATAGGACCATAGTGGCTAATAGGCCAGACATTGTGCTAAGGAACAAGAAGGATAAAACCTGCCTTCTCATTGACAAGACTGTACCCTTCGACACCAACACCTCAGTCAAAATCACTGAAAAGCTTAACAAATGCACAGACTTGGAAATCGAGGTTGAGCAAATGTGGGGGCTCAAAACAACAACAGTCCCGGTGGTTATGGGAGCCCTTGGCACCATCAAGAAGGACATGGAAAACTACACCAACAAAATCCCTGAAAAGAACTCCAGAAAATAACTCTCCTTTCTACAGCCCACCTTCTCAGGTGGGTCAAAACCCTCTTTGCCTCCCAAAGTCCATGGTTTGGACTCGGATGTTGAGAGAGAAAATCAATCGCAATTACACTAGTATATCTTATATAATAATAATAATAACAATAATAATAATATCGTCATAATGTCGTTATAATTTACACTCGGCAGTGTTTAACGTTCAAACATGACAATGGAATAAATTACATTGATATTTTAGTCCAACAAGATAATATTTTATTGAAAAAGTTGATATATCATACAGAGATTGTCCCCATCCTTAAAAAATTATTAAAATAAGACAAAATACCCAATAGTTCAAACTATCACTACCTTCTTTCCTTGAAGGACGATTTTTCGATAAAATGACCTACCTTCTGATGATTAAAAAACCTAGCATGGGAGAACTTGTCTGTTTTTAGACCATGGAGGTTTTTTAAAAGACACATCACTTCAATTATTAAACAAAATATTTGTGCTAAGTTGTCTGGTTTACTATAAGCAAAAACTAAACAAGGCCTCATATATGTTGCATCAATTTCAAAATTCACCTTCAAGGGTCATGAAAGAGAAATTCATAGTAAACACGAATATTCTTTACAAATAGGTTCTGAGACTGTAACAACTTTTACAAATCGAAATTCGAAAGCAAGGCTTAGGGTGAAATGATGTATTGTGCTGTAAACACACATAAGGGCTATAATTTACAGGATGCACGGTTACTTTCAGAGATCACAGAAGTGCGATAGCATCAAAGGAGTTCCGCTCACATTCTTCTAACAAGGCATCTGTACACAAAATTTTGATTTTCCTCGACTCATTTTTCCAAGTTATTTTTCCTTCTCCTTGTTCTTCTTCTTTTTCTTTTTCTTTTGTTTGTCTTTGCTATCCTTGCCTTTTCTATCAAGGCAAGAAGAACAGTACCAATCAGTTCCCGGTTCAGGATCCTCCTCTATCCCAACGCATCTCCTGTAAGAAAACACCACAACAATAATAAATGGTTAATATAAGGTAGAATTCCCAAAGTAACTGTAAAATTTTAAAGTTAAAATAATAAATATTAAAATATTTACCTTTGTTTCTATTAACCCTCAAAAGTGGCAGCCCTTTGAAAAAGACTACTCGACAACAATAAAACATTGAAAAAAAAATTACAGCCTTTTTTTTATCTAAACAGGTCACCAGCTCAACTTGAATTTTAGCCATACCAAGGTGAAACTCACTTTTTTGGAGGCAACCAGCCTCAGCAGAATACATTCTGATATAAAGACTTATTTAAAGAAGATCTGACCTGTGCTTGTGAACAACCAATGTTCATATGTTAAGATTTGAGTTACTGGTGACACGGGGTCAGGAACTCCATGCATTACAGATAGGGTATTCAGGTGAGTAAAGTAATTTTCGAGATTATAAAAATACATAAATTTCTGACAATCACATGCAATCAACTAACAACTAGACAGTGAAAATGATGACCATTATTTAATAATATTTTATAAAGAACAAATGGGCCTCATTTTCATAATTTTATGTTGAAACATGCAGTCCCTAAATTGAATCTGATAATGTTGTTAAGTAGCACTTCCTGCTCATATTGGGGTTCAGATCTCAAGGGCAACCTTTATCTGTTTAGGGCTGTCACTAAGATTTCAAGTTGCTGGGTAAATACAACAAGTAGGCAGGAATCAATCAGTTAGGAATTTCTTTTGGTTCTATTTTACCTCTCTTCATCCTGTAGAAGTAGCCAGAGGGCACATTCATGGTAGCCAGAGGAAATCCCAGGTCCCTGACCCTTAATGACAACCCTAATGTTTCAGGCTATTTTAAATTCTTCACACTCACCCATGAAACCATTCATCACAGCCATCACAGCCAATCATAAAACTGCCATCATCAGGATCGCTACACACAGGACAATAGTACACCCTTCCATCCCCCTACATCAAACATAATACACAAAGACTGTGTCAATGCAAAATAGAAACTATGTTTAATGCTGTGCAGCCTAAGCAATGCAAGACCTCATCACGGTTTCCGTTGTTGGAATGGCATGATAGATTCAGAATATGTGTAGGTAGCTTGCATGCCTACTGCCTTTCTGCAATTTATTATGGAACTGTTAGGGATACTTCATGAACAAATGGGAGGTAGGCTTCCAAACCCAACAAACAAACTAGACTATACATAAATTTTTGGCCACAGTGACAATGTAGCACAAATTGCTGATGGTAGCTTAATACTAGTTCAAAGCGTAATTACAGCAATGTTTTTTTTATTCAGTTTTTTTGTTACCAGTCAAACACAGTAATAATTGGGCTTGAAGGAAGAATGTGTAATTCTCTGTCACTGAACTTGTTATGGCACTAAAGCTGACCATGTGGGTTTTTTCAGGACATTTCTCTCTGCAGGGAACAGTAATAATTACTGCTCCCCATTGGGTGCAATAAGTTGTAGGACTAGCATCTAAAAGCAAAGAATTCACATACATGTACAACATATGTTGATACAGTCTGAGACACAACTGTTCTTTCCAGTGGATCACTTTTTATTGTCAGTTTGGGTATAGCAGAACTGACACTAGATTCTTGTTTTACTGACACCTTTGGAGACACTGGACCTACATTGCCTGTCACTTGACTACTTGCTGTTCCAAGTGACCTGTAAAAAGTACACAATACTAATGTCTCAAGCCCAATAACGAAATTTCAAGTACAGACACTGGTGGCATTAAAGGTGGTTATTGCTAATTTTACTGGACTGGCAAAAACCTCTTGAAAGATCTCATGCTTTAATTTGAAAAATGGGTAAATTGTCACAAATTTTGTTATAGTAAGCTGTTAAGATAAATAAAAGTAACAGACCTTCACGTAGTCCAATTTAGTCTTTGATTTATTATTATACTTGTAACTAAACAAATAAGATAACCACTGACTTTGTTAATCACATGTATGATTACAGAGTGAATTGGACTCCCCTCAAACCTATTACTATTAAGAAACACTGACCTACAGTAGACATAAACCCAACTGCACTTGAATATTGTACAAAAACTAGAGATTTCCTTGTAGTGCAAAGGCAAAAGTCACAAGAGACCATTTGCTGTTAAAACAGAGCCCTGAAATGTTTCTAAAATAATATACTGAATATATTATAACTACCAGTGGTAAGGATGTAGACTTTATCAGCTATAAAAGTGCTCAATGGAAAAACCAGAGCTGAAAATATGTTTATAGCGGTAGACTGAGTCATTTTAATTGCTACTCCAAGTTTCATGCTTATTTCGAAGCAATCATCAGGCAACTCTGATGATTTAAATTTATTTTTTTATTGGGCTCTGATGATTGAAATATATTAGATATATTATTATTATTCACCTTTAAAGTTTTTAAAAAGTGACAAATCACTTTGTGTGTGTTAGAGAATTTTTTGGGGAATTTTGCTACAACATCAACTCAGAATGAATTTGTGGGAATTGTTGCCATGACAAAATTCTATCATGCTGACAAAGATTTTCAAAAAATTCTCCAGTGCTCACTAAGTGATTTGTCACTGCAATGGGTGGCACAAGTTGTTGCCCTCCCTGAACAAAAGAAGACATGTTGTGGCCACATGTTGCCTGGTGTGTCCTAACCTTTAACATGTGTACACATAAGTACTTACACAGGTGCAGCTGGTTCTAATTTGCTTGTTAGGGTGGATGAGGCTGAGTGGGATGGAGGCTCTAATTTAACTGTGATGCGTGGTAGAGGAGCCTGGGATAGACCTCCATGGTCTGTCTTCAACTGAAATGGTCAAGGGTAATATTGAGTGACTAATACAATGTACTTTCACTGCATTCAAATCACAAGTCATTCTCTGATTGGGACCAAGTTTTGACAAGTTTCTCCACATATTTTTTTTCAACCAGAGACTATTGCTTTTTTATTAATTCTACACTTTACCTTTTTGCTTTTATCTTTTTTCTTTTCCTTATCTTTGTCCTTTTCTTTTCGCTTTTTCTTTTTCTTCTTGTGTTCTACTGCCATATCCATTGGAAGTTCACCTGACAAATTGCTTTCCACAGGGGCAGGCATAACTGCAAATTCTCCAATAGAAAATTTAACTTCTTCACTGGTAGAAGGAATACTTAATTCTTTAGCTTCCACTTTGATTGACGGAATTGTTCCTTTCTTATCTGCTTTAGGTTTTTGCTTTTTGGAAGTACTGTCATTATTTTTGGGTTTCTTCTGTTTAGGTTTTTCTTGTTGGCTTATGTTATCTGTAGGTAGGAATTCTGAAACAGTAAAGTGTGGTTCTTTATTGGCTTCCTGTTTCAAGGGTTTAATGATTAACTTCGGCATGCTTTCCTTGCTTTGAATATTTTCTTTAGACAATACAGGCTCAGTGTTTAAAGGAGGAGATTTAAGGGTAGGCTTCTTTGCTTTAACAGATGGTTTTTTGTTTTTATTCTCTTTTACTGGTTTAGCTTTTGCTTTTGCCTTTGTCTCTGGAGTAGATGGCTTTTTATCAGATAAAGGTGACTTAACAACGGATGGGGATTTTTCCTTTTGTGGTTGCCTGGGTGTAGTCACTGTAGGTGATGCAGCCTTTGTAACAGAGCTCGTTGCATTTTTAGGAACCTTAACTTTCTTTTTTGGACTTGACTTAGGTTTAGCTTCTGCTGGTTTTCCTGGTGGTTTCTTGTCCTGGACTGCTTTTTTCTTTTCCACCTTTGGCTTATCTGTTGTTAGGTTCGAAGGCCCTGGTTTTTCAGTAGTATGGGCAGCTTTAATGTGAGCTGAACCAGAGGTTGAGGGGATGTCAAATGTTTTAGCTGTGCTCCAAACATCAGGTGAAGGGGTGGGTGATGGTGATGATAAATTGCCTTGTAATGCCTCCAGAATATCCATTTCATTTCCTCTATTTCCTTTTTGCATAAAAGGTAGATCAAGTCTTCGTTTCTTTGCTTCATTCTCTAAGCCTGGCGGATTATCAAGGGGTCTTTTTACAGCCACAGGAACATTAGAAGTTTCCTCCGCAACTGTCTTTATTTCATTCCTCACAAATCCCCCTGGAGCTTCTCCTTCTTTTCCAGCATCAGTTGTGTCTGTATCTTCTGTTGCTGCTTTTTCTTCATCTGTGGAAAAGGTAAAAGAAACATTCATAAAATGACATCATCAAGGCACAAATACAGAGAAACACAGGACTTGTGCTTGAGACTGCTTGAGGATTTCAGCTAAATAGAGGTTCGTTTTATTTAGGAAAGATGAGAAACTGACGTTGTTATCCACTCAATATGGGGTATTCATTTGGGATGAGCTCAGCATAACGCAGGTTTTGCTATGATCAGAAATGACCAGAACAACAACAAAAAAATGCTAAAAATAGCAGCAACCTGCCAACTCTCGCTCACTATGCATTGTTTTCAGCCACTTAAGACAATTTCAAAATTGGCAAAAAAAAAAAACAAACAAAACTGCCTCTACAAAAGTGAAGTTACTGGGACTTAACAATGAAAATTAATGAAGCTTAACAGTACAATTCAAACAAACTTTCTGGCATTGGCTTCACAAAAAGTTGGCAGGTGTACCTTCACTTTGAAGAAGCTTAGAGACCAAAGGAGGCAAGTAGTCAAAGTACTGCTCCAGTCTCTCTTCAATCTCTCCATTAGGTGGATGATGAAGGGCACAAGGTTTAGGCTTGGGGAACCGTGGCAACTGGTGAATAAATGGAACTTGGTCTACCTGGCTTACAAAGTCTTCCAACTCACGCAGGCACACACCAATGTCCTGGAAGGCTTGGTTCAGATCATCTAGGTTAGGTTCGGTTCTGGAATCTGTCAGGAATTGGATGAAAAAAAAGTCTATGTGCTGTTATTTTACAAAAAAACCCTTATTTGTATAGAAAACTGATGACAAATTTCCTTTTTTTCCCCTGGGACCAGTTTCTTCTTCTGTCACATGCAGTTTTCGGGGAAACTATGCAGGGACCAAGCATTCAAAGTATTCATGTTATTGAAAACTACAAAAACAACTCAACCATAATTTTTAATGTCTGCACCACTACAATGCCGGACAAAACTTATCATGGCAAAGTTTTTAGGTTGTTGGAGTTTCTCATCTGGTGCCACCTATGTGTGTGCCATTCTAAATATTCTTATTTTTTGCGTCACTTTGTTTTGCTAGCGAATAATTTTTTTTTTTCTGTTTTCACTGAATTAAAAAAACAATGCTGTCCCTGGTCCAAGTGGTAAGGTGAATACATAGTATAGCAAATACATGTTGTTTTGTTTTATGTTTTCTTCCTTTGCAAAGAAAGTAAAAGAATTTGTTTGAGTGTAAGAACCTCGACTACCCTTTGTACTTCTCATCAATAATCATGCCATCAATTTACAACTAAACCTTACACAGCTGACAATATCCATGTGCTGACTTTGCTATTTCTTCTAGATATTTTTGCAACACGTCGGTTAGTAAGTCGTGTGTTGACTTTTGAAGAGCGTCCCATCCCATTGATTGGCAGATTTGCGCTACGGCGATTTGAAGGGCGCCATGATTGAAACCGTCACACATGGTGAAAAACGCAAGAACTACTGGCCTTCCTAGATTTCACTTGTATTTCTTGCAACTTAAAACGCGTAGGTGGAGCATGTACGCGAGGTGTGGCAAATAAATGGCAATTTCTAAGCGAAAAAACGTTCAAAATGCAACAAAGTCCATAACATAGCCATTTAGCTCAGTTACTTCATTGAGAAGTAACCCCAAGCTGCGCACAATCGCCACTGCTATTAATGCTGTACGCAAATGACGTGGGCTCAAAAACAATTTGTGGCGGAAACTTTGGAATTTTTCGCGTGAAAGATGAGAGAAAGCCGACAAAAGTAGCGGGGAGAGAGCAAGAAGATCGGGAAATTTCAATCTACACCAGAAATGGAGGAACTTCAGGTCCAAGATTTAGTCAATGAACACTTAGTTGAGTATTATGATGATCCTGATGAACTGGCTTTGTACCAAGAGTACCAGGAGATGGAAAAATATGGCCGCTTTTTCTACTTGTTCAAGTCTTGTGTTGGGCCAACAACATTTCAAACTGTCGAGCTTGTGGGACCGCTTATTGCTATGTGTGTTATCCTGCGAATTGTATCACTCCTAAAACTGCCAAGGCTTATCGTGCACTTTGTTTCATTTGTCTGTGGGATTGCAGCGCTCTTTCTATTCGTTAAGAAGAACGCCCTTTATCCTTTGACTTTGTGCTGTCTGAGTTACCCAGTCCTTTTTCTGAGAAATGGAAAGCGTGGACTTGTCATGGCGTGCACGTCGGTGGCCTTTTTGATTACATGGTATGGTTCGCATGCGATTGTTTTACACAAAGTGATGGCATGACTCCAGTCCTCCTTACACCCTCACCCCTCCTCCCTAGAAAATCACCTCAATGTCTACAGTAGTAGACATTGTGTATTCTGCCGGTGCATGGCCTCCTTGCTTACCTCACAGACCTTACCTTTGACACAGTTGAACCAGACATTGTACAGTATTCACCCACAACAGTGCACAAACTGTCTGAATTGTAGACACCATTGGTACTCGAGCTACATGTACATATAATTTACCCACACCTTGTAGATTTGTTGGGTTGGAGGGACGAATGACTGACATTTCAGACTATACACATTACAATAACAACATCTATGTAAAACAAGATGAAGAGGTCATGTTTGTGTCAAGCAGTAATTATTATTGATGGATCTACAATCTTTGATCCCTCATGCTTGTGTATGTTTCCAAGGGACCAAATATTTGCAGCAGTAATTAATACAAATTTACATCATTCCACTTATGGTCATTTGAGAATATTGATTATCCATGTTGATGGTTGATCAGACCCCATTTGTTCAAAAGGTAGATAGTCCAATCCACTGGATAACTCACCATCCAGTGGATAGCGCAATTAGTTTTTGTGATACGTATCCATTGGATAGCGATTTACCGGTGGATAGCACTATCCAACTTTGGAACAACCGAGGCAGGACTATGAATTGAACGGGTGCATTGAACAAGCCCTTAGTGATTCTTGAGGTGTTGAATGTCAAATACATTTAAATCTGCTGAATTTGTTTCACAAGCAACTACAGGTGAATGTCCAAACATGCACACACATACAATGAAGAGGTATCTGGGATGAAAAATGGAAATAGCAAACACATGTTGTCTGTAAGTGCTTCAAGTTGAAACACTAAGCTTGAATGCTCCCAATTACTAGAAGATGTTTTTGGTAGATAGTTTTCTTGACAATTTCCTAGCATGAGGATTATGGGCTGTGTCATTTAAAATTAAGATTAACTTTTATGTTGACTTTTCTACAGTGAACTTTTCATTGTTACAGCTGAAAACTGGCACCAGGTTCGAGGTATGTTTTCTTCATGGCTACATTTTCCCTAATAATGGGCAGTGTAGGGTGCTTTCAATCACTATTTTGGGAGGTTGATGTTTGGTATCCCAGGGGCTCATGCTTAGGCGGCCCTTAATAATTTTTCTTCGTTGTCACCACTATAACATATTTTGCTACACAAATAACTTACCTTGTATTATTTTAAATGATGTTTTTAGGTTCACAGATGGTACTGGTAATGAAGCTAATTTCTTTGGCATTTGATGTGGATAAAGGGGTGATAACACAACCAAATATTCTGGAGTATTTCGGCTACACTCTTTCAGTTAGTTCAGTTGTGTTTGGACCTTTCATGACATACACAGATTACTGCCAAATCCTTGTTGGAAGACCATTGGTAAGGAAATGAGTTGAAATTAGACTTGTGAACTTGGGTGAATATAGTGCTTATACAGTGGTTAATCCAATGAAGGTTTTGTCAACCTCACAGGTTTGATAAACCTCCTCTCTTTCATAAAGCCTTCATCTTGTCTGATCTAGCCAGTGTGGTGTTGAGCAGAAAAAAAAGGCTCTGCCAATACTTCTTGTCCTACCCCAGAGTAATGGGGCGATAATTGAGGCTTGTGTTAAGTCGCTAATTACCTGCCACAGGGTTGTGTCCCCCCCTTATTACAGTATGCCATCCTGTTGTTTGTTTAACTGCATGTCTTATTTAATTGTGTGACTTTTCATGAGGTTTTTAGAAAGCTCATAGTGACATTTAACAGTTCTTAATAATGCAGTCTCCTGACATGCCCATTAGATTGTCTCCTTTCTTGCATTTCAGAGTTTTTCATGGTTGGTTGGAGTAATTAGAAGCTGTGTTATCTCTTATTGTTGCCTGATTATATCAGCTTGCATTTCTCCTTGGATTTTTGAAGAGGATGCATTCAAGTGAGTCCCTCAATCATTATTAAAATCAGGTATATGGTGAAAACTTTTCCCAGAAAGAAGGTATACAGGTACTAGCCTACCAGAGCTACCCTTGGCCAGCCAACTTTCCTTACATTTCCTTTTCAAACTTGGCAAACTGTTGCCTAGTCCCTGTAAGGCCCTCTCGGTCAATTCGTTTTGGTGACGTATCCGAGGTGAACGGGCATGGACCACGTGACCCGAAACGCTTTGGCCGCGAGGAAAAATGAGGCCTAGGGACTAGGCAAGGCAAACTGTTTACAGGAGAAACAAAAAGTTGGCTTGGTTAGACCAGGTCAACCTTTTTTTGGGGCCAACACTTTGGCTCACCCGGCCAGGTCAACTTGGTCAAGGCCAGACAATTAGAGGATGCGTAAGCTCTGTTTTAGACAATCAGACCATGCACACGCGAACGCTGTTGGTTCAGGCAAAGAGGATGAAACTTTCTTCCCATATAAACACTCACTAATGTTGACTTGGATGGAAGGGTGACCCTCTTTCTCATGACAACTTTTCTCCATTTAAATGGGGCCTTAATCATCTTTGTTTTTGCCAAGCGTTAAAGTGGATCACCTTTTTTGAGTCAAAAGACCTTGTCACACAGCTACCATTTAGCATAAAGAACAAAACGTAGGACTAGTTTCTAGTGTCTAAAGTCTAGGAATAGTTCAAGAAAGTCAAACTAAGTCAGACTTTGGTCTCACTGTTTCAATAATTCCTCTGGTTTGACCTCTTACTGCTGGTCTTCTTGAAACAGGAAATGGTGTCACCTGGCTTAATTTGAAGGAATATACGTAATTCCATGTTTGTTTGTGACTGCAGCATTTGAATCCTCACTCATCCTTTTTCTGCAATCTTGACTTTGCTATCCCATTGTTTTTAGAATAAAGGTTGCCTTTTTCAGTTAAGATAACAATTGCTATGAAGGTGAACATGATCTTCACATTAGAATGAATAATCTAAGTGACTGAATAACAACCGGAAAAATTCAGGCTTGACCAGGAAACAAACCCTGACCTTTGCAATGACCAGACACAACGCTCTATATGTATCTATATATTGTGCTGAATCAAGCCAACGCTGGAGAGCAGGCCATTGTGAGTTCGTGTGATACCCCATGGTGGAAATGACGGGAATTGAAAATATATGAAATAAATCATATTTTGAACTGTGGGTAAATAGGTGAAAGTGAAATGATGATCCTCGTAGTTGAATGAACAATCTATGCGGTTGAAAAAGAATCTGGAAATCTTCTATTACGAAGATCATGTAACTTACTTTCATGTCTTTATCGGCCGTTCTCAAACTCATTAATAATTCATAAAGAAATTACAAAGAAATTAATGTTCAATGAGTGTTTGGAAATCAGATGAAAAACTGTTCAGTTTTGTGTCCTTAATTTCTCCTTCTGAAATAATTTTGTTTGAGAAGCAATATCAAGCATTTGACACAGTGTTTCATCACCAGATGAAACACCTCGAAGTTTGTCAAAAATACTCCACTGCGTGTTGTGTTTTCAACTCCCTCCTTGGTGTTTTATCAGGTGATGAAACACTGCATCTCATGCTTGATATATTACTTCAAAATATGATTCATTTCATATTATTTCAATTCACTATCATTATTTCAAGTCTGTTTTATTGTTTATATCTCTTCTCAGATGGTTTGTTGCATACCAGTCTGCCATGTCCTTCAGGTTCAGCCATTACTTTGTGAGTTTCCTGTCTGAATGTACCAGTTTATTAAGTGGCATTGGAACTGAGGTTAATCAAGAAGGAAAGCAACTAACTATCTGGTAATAATGGTTATTCCACTTGTTTTACAAACTCTGAAAAGTCCATAACACTTATCTTTTGATTTTTCATGTCATGTTTTCGCATGTCATTGTTAGCAGTCTTGATGAGCAGGATTGATTACAGTGATTCTATATTAATTTGAATTCCCTAAAAAAAAACTTCACTTATCCATCCGGCAAGTTAATAATGGTAATTAAGGTAATTGAACTGAGTGGAGTGCAATTAATTGGTGTGAAATCATATGCATGATTTTAAAATCAAACAAGGGTGCAGCACAAGTTCAATTTAAAAGCACAAGTATGATTTCAGACCAAAATTGCATGACATGAAGTTCAATCACCACTTTATTACAGCCATTTTGAAATCACAGAATTCAGTCAGTACCAATATTTATTTGATCTAGTAGCTGGTTTGTTAAAAAGCGGAGACAAAAAGGCTTTTACATCTTGTTTTGTACCCGAAACAGGAATGGTGCAAAAAAGAGTGAAAATGGTGAGATTTAAAACAGAAATGACGCAATTTAGAGCATGAATGACGCGATTTAAAACAGATGTGATTTAGAGCAAAAAAATCGTGATTCGTGAATAAATCACACAGCTGAGTAGCCTGCAGAGAAGGCGCTGTTTAGCAGAAACTCAGACTTACATTGATTGCGGCCGCCATCTTGAAAAGCAAAGGGAAAGAGTAAGGGAGGAGGGGCGAGAAAGGGGGGAGAGGCGGTCCCCTCCCCTCCCCCTCCTTAGCCTGCGTAGCAAGTGTTTCCGCACGAGTTTGTCAAGGAAAGGTGGGACAAGAGCAAAAAAAAAGAAATGGCAGGGGAGGGGAAAGGAGGAAATGCTTGCCCGCAAACCCCACGATTTTGAAAAACTGCGTTCGCCCACAAACACAGTTTCTGATTGGTGCAGTGCCAGTAGTGTTGATTGCTTAGCACTCGAAACATCAATCAAACCAGGTATGTTTTGTTTACGTGCGTCACAGATCTGGTCTTATCTGATTTGTGGTTGCAGATTACGATTGCTTTGGACTGATTTGAATTGTGTTTGTGCAAAGGTTTATGAGATCAGAGTCTTTAAAGTATAATGGGAGATCGAGCTGTGGAGACTAGGGAAGGCCAATTTACTGGGAATGACAGTGTGCGGATCTGACAGGAAAAAATGGACTGTTTGTTGGAGACAACATCAACGTAAATCAGAACATCGGTACTCAACACTAGCTATTAGAAAGCCACCGTGGACAAGCGATTTGTCAGCTTTTTGAAATGAAAAGACTCTTTTTGTTTGGAAATTTAGCGGCATGTATTGTAGAGAACATTTAGACACGGGCTGAAGAGCAGCTGCTCTGCAAAACTTAGCCGGCGGAGTGAATTGTTCCAGACAAATCATTTTTGATGTTTCAACAAGGTTTCAGACGAGATAAAGCCACACAATAAAAAACAAGAAATTCCGCAGTTTTAACCTTCTTTTATCATAAACCTTTTTTATTACAATTTTTGCAATCGCCTGGAACGTGTTCTATTAGAAAACAAAGTAATTTTGCAAATCTGGAAATCCAGGGTAGGAATCTGTTCGTTATACTTCTATTTTGACGAGCTGTCAATTTACAAATGAACCGAACTATGGAATAATTATCAAGGGGCGTTTTCCAGAATCGTGGGGTTTGCGGGCAAGCGTTTCCTCTTCTCCCTTCCCCCCCTTTTTTTTTGCTCCCACACTAACTTTCGTGCCATAACTCGATTGGAAAAACTTGCTACGCAGGCTACCCCCTCCTTTATTTTAAACCTATCAACCTCTCCCTTAAAATAAGTTTTGGACTCATCCCAACTCTGGTAGTATTAATGTCCAAGATAGCTGGATAACGTTATTCCCGAAAAAAAAAATCATGGATCGCACTGCAATATATGCCTGCTTTGCAGGCTAACTGCTGAGAGCCAATCAGATTGCAGGGATCACCAGTGATTTCAAAATGTAAAGAACAGAAATCACTAGCATGATAGCAAAATCCATTAACCCCAGGCTACAGGGCGCTACTTAATATTTGCACACTACTATAAAGTCATATTGTCATCTCAAAATTTAATTTTTTAAGATTAGTTATTTGTTTTATAGTAAACAAAGGATATTAAATAATAATAATTATTATTGTTATTAGTTGTCAAGAAGCTATCTACCTCTTTCCTAATCATCTGTCAAACAGTGATTAATAACCTGTTACTAACTGTTTGTACTAACTGTTAGGAGGTCAGATGTTGCAAGGCCACAGCACATTGAGCTTCCCCGCTCCTTGGTCGAGGTTGTTGTACACTGGAATATTCCAATGCATGTATTTCTAAAAAATTGTAAGTTTATGTTCTAACTGTTTTTTTATATATATATATTGAAATTACTAATGAAGTGAATTGCTATCTCTGTGCATTAATGTGTCCCAGCTGCTGCTTATTATTGTTTTACTTGTTTAAAAGGATAGCCACTCAGAACCCATATAAGATTATAAAAAGATGACACTTTTAAAGTGGGTGTTTCTCATTATCCACTGAACAGGTGGCAAGAGTTCTTTTCACGTCCCCAGAGATAAGTCCACACATGGTTTTAATAATAATATTGCCCAATGTGGTCATTCTGATATTTACATGTACACATTACTGTTCAAGTGGTCTCCAGTCTAATCCAGTCAGCATGTAATAATTATTGTTAGTAGCACTAAATGCAGCGCCGTAGCTAGTATGAGGCCAACCGAGGCACTCGCCTCGGTAAAATTTTGACGAATTTCACCGATCATTTTTATTTTACATAAGCGATCATCGGATATTTTTAACGCATCATGATATTACAAAGAATTCTGCAATTCAGTCAATATACTATGAAAAAATTACCATATCATCGATCTCAAGGGGCTACGTACGTTAACTCAAATTTTTTTTGAACAAATACTGATCAAAACCGTTGGCGAGGTTAACGGTCACCCAGATTATGTAGCTTGTTTCTGATTATTGCTTTTTAAATTCCACTTAAATTAACTCGAAAAAAAGTTACCGAAAGGCCCAGAAAACGCTGCAAATCGCATTTCCAAGAGACTAAAGTTCAAAATTTCTCGGGGGGGCATGCCCCCAAACCCCCCTAGCAACTCCCGCCTTTCTCGGTTGGCCGTTTGGTCTGGCTACGGCACTGAAATGCATTGCAAGAACTAATGTTACTGGACCATTTTGAGATTATAAGAACCATAATGCAGGATATTGTTTGTCACATGAACTTAGGTTAGTGGCCTTTGTTCCCACAAGTCTTCCATGAGTCTTCTTTAGCTTAGTGGTAGGGCATCTGGACTTAATAGGTAACCAGTCAAGGTGGTACATGTGCGTAGGTTGGATTCCTATTTGGAGTACTGAGATTTTTTCTACCCAGCTGCCTGCGTCAATGGTTGAAAAATCATCTTTCTCTTGTATTCATCAGGCTCAAAATTCACCATCACATCTCTTTTAAGTAAATGAGTGTACCTTAATTATTTTTTAGATGTGTTCAAGAAAGCTCAACCCCTTGGAAGATTTACAGCTGTCTTTTTGACCTTTGCATTAAGCTCTTTGCTTCATGTAAGTAAAAGAAGAATTATACATGTACCTGTTATAATGTAACATAAATTAAAGTACTTTTCAAAGGAAGATCCCAGCAATCTCTGTGATTCCACTTTTACTTTTATCGAACTTAATGAGACACAAAAGTACCTCCAGGTCTTATGGGATGTTTTATAATTATTAAATAATTATTTTGATCTCTGCCTGCCAGGTAGGGTTAAACAACTCTTACTCTTTTTTTACCTATGCCTGTCAGTGAGATCTTATTATTAATAAAAATAGAATAATTGCTGTTGACATGTTTTTGCTTACATCATATAATTACAAATTACAAAATTATTATGTAAACCAGTAGATAACCCAAAGTAAAAGCTCTCATGACTGTCCTTTTTGTCTTTTAGGGTATTAATTTTCAACTTGCTGCAGTTTTAATTTCAATAGGAACATATGCCTATATTGAACATGGTGAGTCAGCCAAATCTTTGCTCACTTTGATACACAATGTCTTCACTAGATTTAACAGTCCAAAATGCATTGAAATACATATAATTTAGGAATAGATAGAATATTTTTTAGGGCTCGATATCTAATGTTTCCTCCTGAGAGACCATTGTGAAAAAAGGATGAACAATTTTTTTTGTTTTTGAAACTGAAGAGGTATTTAGTTATGGTCATAGTGACATAATATTATGTACTACAGGTCAAAATTAAATTCAGGTTGAAATTTTTTTATCTAGGTTGATTCTCAGTTTCCTTTGTCCCTTAGCCCTAATTCATGTATAATCACCAGGGTTAGGAGACAAGCAAGAAATTGAGAATCAACCTACATTGTAGGTTAAAAAATTTTGACTTGAGTATAAATTTGACCTGTAACATATGCTATAATAATATTAAAATTACGTTACTCTACATGTACACGTAATAAGTTCACAAGGACCTTTTTAAATTTAAATCATGATAATTTTTATTGATGTCCTTTTCTCATTTCTTTTGGTTGATTTATATGCTCATAATTGAATATCATCAAATTTGATGTCTTGTTGCTTTATTTGGTGTGAGCGCAAATTTATGTAGAATCATGCACTGGGTAATTTGTATGACTGGAAAGACCTAGCTTGTTCCAGGGGTTCAGATTATAGTGGATCGAGTGAGGGGCGAAGTCAGAAGGTGGGAAAAAAATAAGGAGGAGTTTTTCCTGCTCACTTCTCTTTGCCCTGTCCCCACCATCGAGTGTGTTTTTCATTCAAGAAAAGGTAGCTTTCGTTCAGGTTCCTATTATCAGCCACACAACTTACAAGCAATGAACAAACGTACATTTGAACGAGAACAAATTATGTGTAAACCTCCAAAGACCCATGTGAAGAATTGACTGAAATGCAGCGTTTGCATAACTAAAGCATAACTAAAAACCAGTGGGCCTTTACATTTTCAGTCAGATTTTATGATATGTTATTTGTTTAAGACATCATAGGCACTCTAGTTACTTCTTCTTTCGGGAAGAAAAGTAGCCGACGTCTCTGAGCAAAATAACCAACACGTTTTGTCGGTTGTGGGTGCTTATTCAAACCCCTGGAAATGGCAGGAAAAATATAATTACATGTAACGGCTTGTCCCTCTGTTCTTCTTTGTCAAATTGTCACTGTTTTTAATCACTAACTAGAAATCACTGGTTAATTTTTTTTAAGTGTTTCGTTTAATGGTTGGGAAAATTTTCAGTGCCTGTATACTGGCACGAAAATGCAGGCCTGAATGTGGACATGTGTACAAAGAGGTGAGTAACAAAATAATTAATGCATGCCAACTATTTTTTTTTTTTAAACAATGTCACATACAATATTTTTTATTGCCCATGGTCTCTATGGAGGGTTACAAACAGCTAACCTGCGTCGCAGACACTGGATGATGCATAGGCCAGCTGCAACACAGGCTAACAAACAGCTAAACAAGTAATTGCTCAAGAGAGCAAATTTCCTTAATTTTTTTCTTTCAATGACCTTACAATGCATATGTTAAAGACTCAAAACGCTGCATTACATTACATTTTTATTATTGCAGCACCACATTTCATCACCGTACTTATAAATTCACAATACCTTTCAACTTTGCATGTGCATAAGGACTGATGATATAACAGCAATGTGATAGTTCCTCATCAGGGGACAAGCAGTAGATGTTACTTGTATTTAAACACAAGTTATCTTGATTGAGTTTGTTAATTCTTGAAAACAAAACTGAAGAACTGGTTTGCAATGTTAAAGAAAATAGTGGAATATTAACATTAAATAGTGTGTATAGTTACATAAGTGTTAGTTCTATTAAAATATTTTAAAAGGAAATATATGCTCTAAGCTTGTACTTCTTGCTAACTGCTACAAGAAAAGCAGTGAGGGCCGGTTAGAGGGTGTGGCTTGAGACACTTAAATTTATACATGTAGATATTTTGTGCTACTGCACTGACAAAATACTGATTTGGTACATTTCTTTCAGGGCAACTTTTGGGTAACGGTTGCAAATCTTGGCTTTAGCTTTCTCTCAATGTTTCACTTGGCATATTTGGGTATCATGTTTGGAGGGGATACAGAAGTTCAGGAGAAGGTAACTTTTTGTCTTATCTTGTGGAACATCATCTTAGATGGCCTTAACTACCCACCTCTGCCAGCTCAGCAAGTCTGGTTGAACACAAACCTAGGACAACCCATCTTGTTCAACTCACTCAGGGTAAAAGGATGTATATTAATTATTTTTAATGAAGTTACAACTTACAGTAAGTAACAAGTCATTGATCACTGCATGGATTCACTCTCTGGCCTGACAAAAGACTAGCACTTGAAATGTCATCTTCTCTATCACCCGTCTCTACAGTGGCCAATCTAATCAACACAGTTGATACAATGTATCACTGCATGGGCTTTGGTCTGATCATGATATTCAAATGCAGTTGAACCTCCAGCTACGGCCTCTATTAAGTGGCCAGTAATCAAAGTCCTGATGAAATAATATTGTAGAAAAGAATGGGAAATTATACTTCCCCTTGTCGTCAACTCTATCAATTAAGCAGCCACCAAGCACTTGATACACTGATATCCACTTGGTTTGGCTTCATTTCAAGAATACGATGAAGGAAAAATAATACAGTCCGAGATAGAAGTTGACAATGGATTGTGGACCAGTAATGCTTCTCCCATGCCACTGTGTGCTTGTTTCAAAATAAAGTGATGTTCTTGCTAAAGATTATTCTAATTAATGACAAACCTCTACTGAACTGCCTATCTCCACTGAGCGGCCACTTGCAGGCACTTGTACTCCGAAGGTGGCTGCTTAATGCAAATTCAACTGTACTAATGCTATGATGAGCCCCTACTAGCCCTTTTGTTCCAGAAAGCCATTTTATGTGGAGGCATGAAATTTAGTAAGCCATTTCCAAGTTGCCCCAAGCCTCTGTTTCAAAGCGAGGCTAAGTGTGAAGCCATTGACATAAAAACTACTGTTATTCTCATTCAAATAAAACTCATTTTTACAGCAAAGGTTTTGCACTTAGCCTCATTTTGAAAGTGAGAGTTTTTGGAACTCGGGAGTGGCCTATTCTGATTTTTTTTTCATAAAAGAGACCCTATGGCATATCCATTAATTTTAATTGAAACCCCTCTTGTAGTACATGTTTGTATTTTCAAATGCATTAGTGTATTTGTTTTTCAGTTTCTTAATATGATGTTGAATCTGGGGTGTTTGAAAGTTTTATTGTGGGTAACATTAGCTTAAATAAAGGGTTAATGTTGGAAACCCAGGGAAGTATGGTGTTTGAGGAGTGAGAGGGGAACGCAAGTCTAGTTTTAATACATGAGTAGAACAAAAATTCAAGCCTTAAGTAATAAGTATTTTCTGGTACCAACAGTAAGAAGTTTACTGATCACAATCACATGGATGAGAGATTCACAGATGAAACTGACAAAAGACTTCTTTAAAATTACCAATCTACTTGCGGTTGGTGCATTTTGAATGTTAAAATGGTGCATGCCTTCACATCAAAATTTACATACAAGCAAAATTATCCATACTGCAGAGAAGGAGAGGGGGAGGGAGGGAGAGGCAGTAACTGTTGATTTTTTTGCAAAAACGAGACCCTTAAAAGAAAGCCTGTGATGAGCCCTACAAGGTGATATTAGTATTATGGGATATGATACTGCTGGGGAAAATCTCAATCTAAATCTCACACTAACCCTGGGTTATCTTAACCCAGCTCTGAACAACTTGGCCCTGATCTTATCTACTAATTCTCATTTTTTTTCCCTTTACTTTCATGGTTTAGGGTTATGGCATGAAGCATACTCTCAGTAAATGGTCACACTTGGACTTTGCTAGTCACTGGGTGGCCTTAGCAACTTTCCTATTTACCACAATAATTTAGATCAGAGTAATGATTTGGACTTGAAGATGAGAACAATTAATTGTTAATAATGAATTTAAACATTCATCAACTTAGCCTGTGTACATCACCATGACATGAAATTTAAAATATGTTGATACCTTGTAAGTAAGCTCTCAACTCAGAGGTGATTTGAAAAGAAACTTGTGCCATTCGTTCTAAACATGGTTGTATTGATGTATTTATTTATGTTTTTAAGATTTTATTTTCATAGAAAAATATAACTGAAATTACAAAATATGGTGTACATTAGAACCCAATTGTTCCTTACTAACATGACTATAAAGCTGTATACTGTAATAATGCATTCATTTTGAATAAAACAAAATAATAAAATGAAATTGGAACAGTAAGTTCCAATAATTTTGATCTATTTTACATTGTACTCATTATTAATTTTCATAAAGAGCCTACTGAGTTAATTCTAGAAATCAGGTATCCAACAGAGTATTCACTTATAAGCTAACAGGTACATGAAGGTCTGATGTAGATTGCATGCACAATATATGAAGGATTTCCAATGGCATTTTTATTCTTTTTTGGACAAACAATGAACTGTGTTCCACAACCTTTTGGTCATAATTTTCTTTAAAAAAATGTACAATAAAACAACTCTCAGAGTTGTTTTTTCTGATATCTTAAATGATTTTTTAAAAAGGATTTGATAATACAGTCAACTCTCGCCTTGCGGACACCCCGCTATAACATACATCCTGGTAAAACGGACAGCAGCTAAATCCCCGGCAAAAACAAATTACAGACGTTTGACTGAAGTAAACTCCCGCTATTACGGACTCTCGCTAATGAGGACACTAACTCGAGGTCCCTACAGTGTCCACAATAAAGGGAGTTGACTGTATTGGGAAATCAAAATATTTAATTGTGAAATGAAACAGTCTTCAGTTTTCTAGCTACAATGTACATTATCAAACTCCTGAAAATTTTTTACATAACTATAACATGATTCAAAAATACCAAAATGACTGCTTTACATTGACCAAAGTGAGGTTAATCGGCCAAATATATGTTGCAAGTTTTGTAAAATATGTGGTTTCCTGGTAGACATTTTGCTCTATTGGCAGGTAAACTACATAACTGAAAATAGCATGCAAATTATCTCCCCAGGCTTTACTCACATAAAATAAACAACAAATAGTAAGTTTAAAGAAATGTCACAAGGTCATCTTGTACAAATTATTTACACTTTATACTGGAATATACAGGTTTGTGTTTACTATTCACGTGATTTTGCCTATTTTCTGGTTGAAGGGGGGTGGGGGTAGACAGAAGTGGCAATTTTGTTCTGTAAAAAGAGCATATGCAGCTCCCTGCTACTATTTACTTGCATGTAACTATATAGACCTTTCATTCATTTTAGTTAAGATCGACATGCAAGAGCAACAGGTGAATTGCGGTTGTTAGAAATGGCAGCAGCAGGGTCACCAAAGCAGTCTTGACACCTGTCAAATTCATTCCCATTATCTGAATACCCCTGCCTGTTGACAGCTTTGCCACCATCTTATCTAATATTTCCTCGTTCTGGAACAGGTATCCTGCCTCCCTCTGTTCTGAAAATTTCAGATCTCCAACAACTTCTGGTAACCTTGTCATGATCTTGTGCAACTTGGCCAGGAAAATTAATGGCAGGGTGTATAACACCAGCATTTCCAGGAAATCACCTAAAGCACTACAACCAATCCTTATCACTTCTTTTACGTCTGTAAGCTTATCAGTGTACTCAAATGGTAGCTTGAATGTCTTGACTTGGTGACGAGTGTTGTTCGGACCTGTTATCTTTAAAATCAATCCCATTTCATTGTTGTTATAAAAACTACTGACATTAGTAACAGTGAAGCCCGTGTTTGATGGGATCTGTGCTGATGGAGTTAACATCAGGGGGTCGCTGTATTTCTGCCGGTAGTAGATCTCAGTTTGGAAGCGTTCAGCACAGGAAAATATTGACGGAATGAGCAGGATCAACAGCAGAAGTAGGTGTGTAATAAGGAAAGGTTGAAAATACCTTTCTGCATCCCCAATCATGTTCTTGATATTTATGAACCGATTCCTCGCTTCTTCGAATTTATCCTCGGGCCACTTTTGGATCTGCTCTTTGAAAAAGCGAATGTGACTGAAGATAATGTAGACTTCGTAAATGAAGCCAACAAACATCGGCAGCGCTACAAGGCGGGCGAAAAGGGACAGAGAATTCGCCAAACTGATTTGCTTCACGTTAAAAGATGCCACTTTTTGAGTCGACAAATTCATTTGGACAGTTTTCAATAAGAGCGGGAAGAAAATCACGCAGAAAATAACAGCAAGGATTGCTTTACTGATGGTTTTTTGGGTTTTCTTCCAATATCGCCTTGTCAAAATCACTTTTGATAGCATTCTCTCCAGGTGACGTTTCCGAAAGTAAAGAACCCCAAGGACGTTCAGTTCCAGAAACCTCACAGACCAGATGATATTTTTGGCCGCAGTGACAGTTTCACTCATTTCCTCTTTAACCAGGGATCTGTTTTTAAAGGCACCCATGTCGAAGCTGTAGCAGCAAACTAGGATACCCACGATTAGAACCTGCATTGTGGTGCAAATTGCCTTCTGTGTGACGGAAGCGGAGTTTGGGAACCACTGCAATGTGCCCCTGATGTAAGCTCTCAGCCCAGTCAACCTCTCGGAACTCAGGCTTAAATTAATGATTGCGTCCTCTTTAGTTACTGAGTTGTTTTCTTCAATATCATCGTCACTGATGCCAGCAACGTCTTCGTCGCCACCGTGAACCGACACGATGGATATCATGGAAGGTGCTCGCGGTCTCGCGTAGTCTTGGTGTGCACTGTTTATGCTACCTTCACTACCGTTCAAGTCGACTCCGAAGGCTTCATTGCTATCATTTAAGCCAAAATCCCTATAAACTGGCTTCGTGCCGTTAGACATGGTTAAAACCAGCTGTTAAAACAGACATACAACAGAAAAATGCTTCACTGAACGTTGAAACTGAAAACTGCTATTAGTCTAACCATGCTGTCTAAGCATACTTGAAAACGAGGCGCGGGGATTCCCCCAATACTTCAATCGAAACTGAAAGTTTTCCTAGTGGCACAAGGGAATTGATTTGGTACGTTTTTGTGGGGGACGCCTAGAAACACGTAGAATGTTATGCGGGGATAATACACTTTCCCTTTTCGCTTTGATTTGGTCATAAAAAACATACCGTAAAATTCCGAAAATAAGCTCCTCCATGTATAAGCCCCTTCAAATATAAGCCCCCCAAACCGGTGTCACAGTGATATGTGTATCCCCGTGATATGTGTATCCCCATACACATATCCCTAGTGATATGTGTATTCCGGGTGGGGATACAATAAACACTGATGCTCATCCACGACACAATAAGGAAATATCTTCTCTTGCTAAAGGAAATGTCGTCGATATCATGTAACATAACTAGTAACACAACTAGGGTTAAGACAGGAATCAAACAACATGCAAAGGTGGAATATTGCGGCGCTCGCAGAAGGGATACACATATCGCAGACCCGGCGCAGAGATATGTGTATCCCCTGTTTTTTCTTCTCTTGCTAAAGGAAATATCGTCCATATAATCTATCAGAACAACTAGTAATACAACTACTGAGGTTTACAGGAATCAAACAACTTAAAAGGTGGATTATTATGGTGCTTGCACGGGGGGATACACATATCACTGGACCAGCGCAGAGATATGTGTATCCCCTCTATATTTTTTGACTTTTCGAGTTATCCCTTGCTGAATGAAATTTTGTCAGTCATACTTATTTAACGCGACTAGTGACATATGAATTATAATCACGTTGGATAAGGAGAGGAGCGAGAACGAATGTTTACATCAACATTGCGGCCCACGAAGAAGTAAACTCGCCAGAGACAGCTTTGCGATTATTTTGTCTCGAATCGATGCTCTTTTGTCGATTGTGCTGCTCGTAATCTTGAATCATTTGTAGTCCCTTTGACGATGATTCGCAAAATTCACAAAAACAACAGAAATAAAACCGACACTTGTTTGGAGGGGTGGGGGGTAGGGGATACACATTTCACTGGCAGCCATATTGGAGGGATACACATATCACTAGGGATATGTGTACGGGGATACACATATCACGGGGATACACATATCACTGAGACACCGGTAACGCAAAAAACCCTCCGTTAAATCGCCCCTCCCCCTGGGGCTTGTACTTGGAAAATTACCCTCAAATACAAAGTAAAACAAAGCAAAATCGATAAATTTACTTTCAACTATAAGGCTAGCCCAATCGATTTTAAAACGCAAATTTCCCTCCGTAGATAAGCCCCTCCGAATATATTAAAGGACCTTAAAGCCCCTCCAAAAATAAGCCCCTCAAAAAGGGCTTTTGAAAAATATAAGCCCGGGGGCTTATTTTCGGAATTTTACGGTACCATATGAATAACTGCTGCGAAAGAATGTATTTTTAAAGACGCCATGAATACACGTTCTCTGTATGTTTCTATTTCTATATTTATACTTTGCAAAGGTTGCCCATCGCGCCAATATTATTTATTAATTAAACAAAAACAGCAGAAATCATGTTGTCATGGAAAGTTTTAAGCGACTTGTAAGGTTTGGTTCCCATTAGCGACATAATGATCATAATCATAAACATAATCATAATCATAAAGTTGTTATGAACTAGTGGGAACACAGGTGCAAGACGTGGAAATTAAGGGGTGTACTCATCGTTTTGAGTGCGATGTGCTTTATAAGTGGTCGCCATACAACCCTACGGATTAAATGCAGTAATGATGGGATTTATTGCATCGACTACGTTTAATCAGGTTTTTTTTCGCCATCGCATGATCATGATACACTGTGTATTAATCCTTTTGCTTCTTGAATCAAGACGACATCTCCTGACAGAAAACAGGGAAAATCGAAGGCGCTTCTGGGTGAGACCAATATTGAAGGCAAGGAAAGCATACGGATGTTATCATAGCTTTGTTCAAGAACTTCGCTTGGGGATCGAGGAATAGCATGCGCGGCAAGTTACTCCAACTATGACGTTCATTGGCCAAAATAAACTCAAGTTATCTTGATTGAGTATGTTAATTCTAGAAAACAAGTATTAAAGAACTGGTTCGCAATATTAAAGATAATAATGGAATATTAACTTTTGAAAGTGTGTATAGTTACATACGTGTTAGTTCTATTAAAAGATTAAAAGGGAAATATATGCTCTAAGCTTGTACTTCTTGCTAATTGCTACAAGAAAAGGAAAAGCAGTGAGGGGTTAGAGGGTGTGGCTTGAGACACTTAAATTATACATGTAGATATTTTGTGCTACTGCACTGGCAAATACTGATTTGGTATGTTTCTTTCAGGGCAACTTTTGGGTAATGGCTGTAAATCTTGGCTTAAGCTTTCTCTCAATGTTTCACTTGGCATATTTGGGTATCATGTTTGGAGGGGATACAAAAGTTCAGGACAAGGTAACTTTTTGTCCTATCTTGTTGAACATCATCTTAGATGGCCTGAACTACCCAGTCCTCTGCCAGCTCAGCAAGTCTGGTTGAACACAAACCTAGGACAACCCATCTTGTTCAACTCACTCAGGGTAAAAGGATGTATATTAATTATTTTTAATGAAGTTACAACTTACAGTAAGTAACAAGTCATCGATCACTGCATGGATTCACTCTCCGGCCTGACAAAAGACTAGCACTTGAAATGTCATCTTCTCTATCACCCGTCTCTATCTTGCGTGCGTGCAGACATCTACACGTTAAATTTTCCCCTGTCCCCGCACAAGATTTCGATCGCTCTGCTTTTCGATCGACGAAAAACACAGCACACAATCGCACATGTTTTGATTTGTTTTGGTTAGGAAACCCCGCTTACATAAATCATTTAAATCACCGCATACATTATCAGACCACATTCGATAACAACCAATCAGCGTTAAGTCAAGCAATGTGCACTGTGTGTCAGCCTATCACAGCGTGTTCCCAAGATCTTGGGAACCCAGCAGGACGCTGGAACACGATTAGCGACGGCGTTAGGCAGACGTCCCTTTTCCGCGTGCAACAAAGGAAATAGGAGACGTCTGCACGCAGGCAAGTCTCTATCTCGATGATTGCTGCGATAGGTCGTGACGACCAAGATGGCGGGGTGGAGAGTTAAACACGTGGAGAGTTTACCAGTTCTATTTATTTAATTATTTAATCTAAATAGTTTTATTATTAGTAGTAGTAGCTGTATAACCTCCACCCACTTGTAACCGCTATGTGGTAGTAGCCAACTCGAAAGCTTGGCTCCATTGGCTGCTACACACTCTTTTCCTTTGTTATGTTTAATTCGATGTATAGTTAGCTCTGTTTTTTTTATTTAATTCTTCTTTTTTTTTCCTTATTGTTGTTGTATTGTAATTGAATAAGTGTGAATAAACGAACTTGAACTTGAACTCTACAGTGGCCAATCTAATCTTGAAACACAGTTGATACAATGTATCACTGCATGGGCTTTGGTCTGATCATGATATTCAGATGCAGTTGAACCTCTATTAACCAGTCACCCTCTGTAATCAAAGTCCTGATGAAATAATTTTGTAGAAAAGAATGGGCAATTATACCTCCCCTTTTCGTCAACTCTATCAATTAAGCGGCCACCAAGCACTTGATACACTGATATCCACTTGGTTTGGCTTCATTTGAAGAATACGATGAAGAAAAAATAATACAGTCCGAGATAGAAGTTGACAATGGATTGTGGACCAGTAATGCTTCTCCCATTGTGTGCTGACATTCATCAACTTAGCCTTTGTACATCACCGTGACATGAAATTTAAAGTATGTTGATACCTTGTAAGTAAGCTCTCAACTCAGAGGTGATTTGAAAAGAAACCTGTGCCATTCGTTCTAAACATGGTTGTATTGATGTATTTATTGATGTATTTAAAATTTTATTTTCATAGAGAAATATAACTGAAATTACAAAATATGGTGTACATTAGAACCCAATTCCTTACTAACATGACTAAAGCTGTATACTGTAATAATGCATTCGTTTTGAATAAAGCAAAATAATAAAATGAAATTGGAACAGTAAGTTCCAATAATTTTGATCTATTCTACATTGTACTCATTATTAGTTTTCATAAAGAGCCTACTGAGTTAATTCTGGAAATCAGGTATCCAACAGAGTATTCACTTATAAGCTAACAGGTACGTGAAGGTCTGATGTAGATTGCATGCACAATGAAGGATTTCCAATAGCATTTTTATTCTTTTTTGGACAAACAATGAACTGTGTTCCACAACCTTTTGGTCTTAATTTTCTTTACAAAAAATGTACAATAAAACAACTTTCAGAGTTGTTTTTATGAAATCTTAAATGATCTTTTAAAAACGATTTGATAATATTGGGAAATCAAAATATTTTAATTGAGAAATGAAACAGTCTTCAGTTTTCGAGCAACAAAGTACATTATCAAACTCCTGAAAATTATCAACATAACTATAACATGATTCAAAAATACCAAATGACTGTGCTTTGTATTGACCAAACTGAAGTTAATCAGCCTAACATATGTTGCAAGTTTTGTAGAATATGTGGTTTCCTAGTGGACATTTTGTGCTATTAGCAGGTAAACTACATAACTGAAAATAGCATGCAAATTATCTTCCCAGGCTTTACTCACATAAAATAGACAACGAATAGTAAGTTTAAAGAAATGTCACAAGGTTATCTTGTACAAATTATTTACACTTTATACTGGAATATACGAATTTATGTTTACTATTCACATGATTTTGCCTATTTTCTGGTTGGGGGGAGGGGGGCAGGTGGTGGTGGCAATTCTGTTCTGTAAAAAGAACACATGCAGCTCCCTGCTGCTATTTACTTACATGTAACTATATTGACCTTTCATGCATTTAATTTTAGTTAAGATCGACATGCAAGAGCAACAGGTGAATTGCCGCCGTTAGAAATGGCAGCAGCAGGGTCACCAAAGCAGTCTTGACACCTGTCAAATTCATTCCCATTATCTGAATACCCCTGCCTGTTGACAGAACTGCCAGCATCTTATCTAATATTTCATTGTTCTGGAACAGGTATCCTGCCTCCCTCTGTTCTGAAAATTTCAGATCTCGAACAACTTCAGGTAAACTTGTCATGATCTTATGCAACTTGGCCAGGAACACTAATGGCAGGGTGTATAACACCAGCATTTCCAGGAGAACACCTAAAGCACTACTACCAATCCTTATCACTTCTTTTACGTCTGTACGCTGTTCAATGTGCTCAAATTGCAGCTTGTATGCCTTCATAGATTGCAGATGAGTGTTGTTTGGATTAGCGTTGTTTGGACCCAGTTCATTGTTGTTGTTATAAAAACTACTCACATTAGTATCAATGAGGCCCGTGTTTGATGGGATCTGTGCTGCCGCAGTTAACATTAGGGGGTCGCTGTATTTCTGCCGGTAGTACATCTCAGTTTGGAAGCGTTCAACACAGGAAAATACTGACGGAATGAGCAGGACCAACAGCAGAAGTAGGTGTGTGATGAGGAATGGTTGAAAATATCTTTCTGCACGTCGAATCATGACTGTGATATCTATGAAACGATTCCTAGCTTCTTCGAATGTATCCTCGGGCCACTTTAGGATTTCCTTTTTGAAAAAGCGAATGTGGCTGAAAATGATGTAGACTTCGTAAATGAAGCCGACAAACATCGGCAGCGCTGCAAGGCGAGCGAAAAGTGACAGAGAAATCGCCAAACTCATTTGCACCATGTTAAAAGATGCCACTTTTTGAGTCGACAAATTCATTTGGACAGCTTTCAAAAAGACTGGAAAGATGACCTCACAGACAATTACAGCAAGGATTGCTTTTCTGATGGTTTTCTGGGTTTTCTTCCAGTATCGCTCTGTCAAAATCACTTTTGATAGCATTTCCTCCAGGTGTCGTTTCCGAAAGTAAAGCACCCCAAGGAAGTTCAGTTCCAGAAACCTCACAGACCAGATGATATTTTTGGCCGCAGTGACAGTTTCATCCATTTCCTCTTTAACCAGGGATCTGTTGTTAAAGGCACCCATGTCGAAGCAGTAGCAGCATACGAGGATACCCACGATTAGAACCTGCATCGTGGTGCAAATCGCCTTCTCTGTGGCGGAAGCGGTGTGTGGAAACCACTGAAATGTGCTCCTGATATAAGCTTTCAGCCCAGTTAACCTCTCAGCCCTCTCAGAACTCTCTTCTTTATCCAAACTTAAATGTATGATTTCATCCTCGTTTGTTTCTGAGTTGTCTTCATCTCTCCCGTAATCCCGCTGTGTACTGTTTATGCTGCCTCTACTTCCACTGAAGTCCACATCGAAGTGTTCACGGCTATCATCCCTATAAATTGGCTTCTTGTCCTCAGACATGGTTAAAACCAGCTTTTAATACAGACAACAACAGAAGAGTGCTACAGCGAAAGTTAAAGGACAATCAAGAAAAAAGGGTGGCTTTGTTTGTTTTAGGATAACTGAAAACGAGGCGCGGGGATTCCCCAAGCACTTCAATCGAAACTGAAAGGTTTTATTTTAGTGGCTCAAGGGAATTGATTTGATACGTTTTTGTGGGGGGCGCCTAGAAACATGTAGAAACACGTCTCTAATTGTTATGCGGGGATAATACACTTTCCCTTTTCGGTTTGATTTGGTCATAAAAATATACCATATGAATAACTGCTGCGAAAGACTGTATGTTTCTTTTTCTATATTTACACTTTGCAAAGGTTGCCCATCGCGCTAACATTATTTATTAAATAAACAAAAACAGCAGAAATCATGTTGTAATGGAAAGATTTAAGGGACTTGTAACCTGTCAACTACACTATGAGGCTCGAATCACGCAAAGAACGTTTCCTGTAGGATAAAAAATGACAAGGCAAAATGTTTTTTTGAGAAAATGAGAAAGCTTAGTTCTTACAGCAGCTTCCAAAACACTTCTTCAAGATAGTAAAATATTTATGTCTCTCGGAACAACGGTGTCTGCTTCCTGAGAGATTCGCGTGAGGAAGCTCTAAGGCCCTGTTTACAAGGAAGAAAGGTAACCCTGGTGCTAGGGTTACCCTAGCACTGGCACATTTCTTGTTTTTTTTTTTTTAACACTACGTGTTTACGAGGCAGGTATGGTTACCCTAGAGCTAGGGTAACCCTACCTGAGTGCTAGGGTTACCCTAGCAAGAGGGTTACCCCGGCCTCTTTGCTAGGGATAACTCGCCTACCCGGGACAACTTTCCTCCATCCTGACAATTTGAACGGAATTATCCAATTTCTGAGCTAAATTGTAAACATCTGAATAATATACGGTATTTTCTTAATACGATGATAATATTTTCCCTTTTTTCGTGGATTTAACGTGTTTTCCATTGAGAACTTCAAGTTGTATTTCAAATCTTGGACATTACAAAGAATGTCACACAAGACGAAACACGTCAGGAAAGCTGGTTTTAAAGTTTACCCGGGTGATAGGGTAATCGAGGGTAACCTTTGCCTATAAACCCGGGCTATCTCTAACCCGCTTGCTAGGGTAACCCAAGGGGTGGGTAGAAAACGAAGACCTAGGACCTAAGACCCAAAAACGAAGAGCCCCCTCAAAATCTAGAAACGGGTATCTCGACCATAGATGTGTAAGAAACAACAATATCTTCAATTATACAAAATTTCGACCAGGGTATTCGTTTTCTACACAATCCCCCTGGTGTGTAGAAAACGAAGGGCCCCGTCATAATCACTTGGAAACGGCTGGAAACTGCTTTTAATTAACGACTTCTAGACACTAAAGGAGTGTAAGAAACAACACGAACACTTAACACGGCTCCTGACGATTTTTAATTATACAAAATTTTGACCAGGTTCTTCGTCTGAGTTTTCTGTGGAATCATCCTTTGCTGGTCAAAATTTTGTATAACTGAAAATCGTGTTGTTTCTTACACTCCTTTAGTGCCTAGAAGTCGTTAAAAGCAGTTTCCAGCCATTTCCAAGTGTTTTTTTGGGGGGGTGGGCGGTCTTCGTTCTCTACACACCGGGGGGGATTGTGTAGAAAACGAAGACCGTGGTCGAAATTTTGTTTAATTGGAAATCGTCAGGAGCCGTGTTGTTTCTGACAGTCCTTTAGTGTCTAGAAGTCGTTAAAAGCAGTTTCCAGCCGTTTCCAAGTGATTTTGAGGGGGGTCTTCGTTTTCTACACACTGGGGGGATTGTGTAGAAAACGAAGACCCTGGTCGAAATTTTGCACAATTGAAGATATTGTTGTCTCTTACACATCAATGGTCGAGATACCCGTTTCTAGATATTGATAAGTGATTTTGAGGGGGGCGGGGGTCTTCGTTTTTGGGTCCTAGGTCTTTGTTTTCTACACACCCGTAACCCTAGCACAAGGACAACCCTCTCTCCTTGTAAACAGGCCCTAAGTACGTCTGCGTGGAAAGCTACAGTCTTGGACAAAATAGACTGAAACACAGTACCGTAAACGATCCCCGACCGTAGACTAGGAGGAAAATGAACGAGGTTTGCAAGTAATGTTGTGAAATCGTCTCAAAACTATACCTAGACTTTGAAGCCTTGTTTAAGTCTTGGGAAAGTTTTGAAAACATTTCCCGACATTTTTCCTTCCTAGTTTACCCGCCAGTCTACAAGTCTGCATTTAACTCTTGTCGCACAACGTGTTTTTCGACCCTATCCAATTGCCCTACCCAGTCTCAAGGCGTGACGAATACTGTATTAGATCTCTTTCATTCGTTACGTCCGTTACTGATCTTGAAATTTGCCATCTTTCTATCTCAAACACAATAGAGTATGCTTTTGACCCTAGCCAGTACAAAGGAAGCATGTCAATTAACAACCTAGTACACTGAGTCTAACCTCTCCGTACGGAAAACTGTTACATGCTATGACGGAAAGTTCCCTCAGTCCACCAGATACCCAACGTCAAACAATCCCCAGCTCTATAGGCCTCTGTATCGCCGACAGGTGATCTTGTCCTTCTCATGTTCAAGCCTCTTAAAATCAAACCGAGGTCTGGTACACAATTTGACTTTAATTAAGGATAAGCGACTTCACAAACCTCATGTTGAAAAAAGCCAAAAGGAGTTCTGATCAGGCGACAATGCAATACTATGCAAGTTTCCTAGTTATGTAACTATTAAGCACATTTTCGATAAGAAAACTATGTATAAAGTACTAAAGTGCAAAATATAATCGGAAAATATTTACAGGAATTTCTACTATGAATTTCTTTTTAATATCCCACCACTTGACGGGTAAACCTTTCTCTGGTAAATGATACTTAACATTTAAAATAGAAATAGAACTTCAACTCTTAGGTTGTCTCTATGGGAAGTCGACATTTGTCGACAGGCGATTTTAAGACTGTTTAGCTCTCCCCCCTCCCTCAGAACATTGTTAGGAGAATTTGTGCTAAGTAACCTGTGTACAGACGTCTCCCCTCCTCAGGCAAAAATCGGGAGAACAGAGTTTTTCCTGAGGGAGGGGAGACGTCTGTACACAGGCTAGTGCAAAGTTGATAGGAATATATTTAAACTCGTTCAACTTTGCCAAGACTTTATCCACACGTATCCGAATATTTTTGAATCCCGCAAAGTTTTCTTTTCGGATTCAAAAATTTCTACGTCCTCACGTATCCATCCGTATTCAGATCGAATTTGCCCGTCCATACCTCACGTTTCCGACACGTATCCGGATTCACTCTAGTACTTAGGATTCCTCTGGGAATATTGCCAACAGAACATGCATCGAAGTTGCCATCTTGAATACAGTATTCACTGGGCTCGATCTTGTTACGTCATCGGATAAAAAGATATCCAGATTTAGCGTCCGGACGATTCATAGCGCATTCAAAAATTTCCACTCTGGAGAGCGGATTCTAAGCCAGTTGCGGCTTCGTATGCAGGATTCACCGGATACGTGTGGACAGAAGCGGAATCCGGAAAGAAACAGTTGCGGATTCAAAAATATCCGGATACGTGTGCCCAGGGCCTAAACGTTGCTTCCGAGAAACTGTAAGAAAAGTTCAAAAAATTGTGTAAATGAAAGTATTACAAAATTGATATGTTGGGAACAACTTAATTTGTCTTAACATTACTTGCGTTCTGTGACTTGAAATCTTGATGCCGTTTGAACTTCTTGCATGTACTACACCCGTAAAGCTCACCTCTTTTTAAAGAAAGAATTCAGTTAAGTGTAAATCATTTTTGTGAAGCGTATGTTGGACCGTTTGACACAGCTTTCTCTTGACATTTTTTTTATAACTCGACAAATGTTTAGAGAACGTTGAAGTAAAGAATTAAACGAAGTAATGAATTATATGCCACATCATTATTGCGTTTTTCCTCAGCGTTAGTTACCCTAGCCTGTAAAACACCCTCTAAGAAACGAAAGCAGAAACCTAAGGCCAGTATCACACAGTTCAACATTTCAAATGCTACAGTTCGCGTTGATCAACTGAACGGAATAACGCCAATCTCTATTCGCGTTCCAGATTTTAAACGGCGGGGTTTCAACATTTAAAATGGCGCAACTGCTGAGCCGTGTAATAAGTAAATGAATATCAAAAGCTACACTGAAATTCCAAGGGAATAAAGCCCCGATCTACATCTGACATCATTTGATATAAGCACAAGGGTTATATGAATCTGATATCAGAGAAGGTAATGCTATTTACCAAGTTTGCACCACAAATTGGTTTACAAATGTTTGCACTAGCGAGTGGTTTAACCGCTATATGACGATCTAACTTCAAAAATAAATTTGAAAGATGTTTGATGAGAGAGATATTAGTAGTGAGAGCTTTTTAAAAAATGCACACCGAGTGAAAACAGGGTGTAATTAAGTACACACGAGTAGAATAGATCCCGTTGACCATACTGAGTTTTGTTCTATAAACCTACACACTGTTTGTGTATTTAGCCTGGAGTACAGTAGCCGTTGTAGTAGCTTGAGAGCTATTTTTTTTGTATGACGGCCATTACACCTGCTCTATCCTGTCGGTTCTTGCTTGAAACTTCAGCACCACTATCACGAGCCCAAACAAAAATGAAACAAGTCTTATGTCCGTATTTCTCCACTCACAAATCCATATAAATTCAAACATTCACTGAGGCTCCTACTTTACTGGACCGTACATCACACTCATAGACTTTTCAAGAATACGACCGTACTTCACCGACAAGACACCAGTTTGGTGAAGACTGAGCTCAGCAATGCAGGCCGCTAAGAAGCTAAAAGTCAACATCGGAATCATTAATATCGTCCACTGCAGCCTCATCCGGGTCGAACGTAACAAGAGAGGAAGGTGAAGATCCGGACGGGCTTAAGCGTTCAGTAGCTTCCAAGGCTACAGGAAACCGCTGATGGTATCGCTTTAAAGTTAAATACTTGACAGCAACAAGACGACCTACAATGAAATTCAAAATTATGTTAATAACGCGTTAAAATACCATGTCTTCAGTCATAATAATTTGAAGTCAAAGGGCATGTTAAGCGGTTAGTTGAATCTATAACTGATGCTGAATTTGCCGTTAGGTTGTTCCGTGGTACTAGGCTAACAACATTTCTCCTCCTTGCGAAATGTTGACAAACCTTACCAATATTTAAAAATGCAGTTGTCCACTGCTAAGCGAAGCAGGACAAAAATTCGCTGACTCTACTTGTAAAATGGAGGTGATGACAAAGACTTCTAAAAGTAAACACCAATTCGTTTTGAGCGGAGTAACTCTTAGATATCACTGCACGAGCGACCTGAAACAAAGGTGACTTGAAACGTTTATGTTGCATTTATAGCCCTTGGAAGAAGTATAAATTGGTTCTACATCGTGGTGCAACCGTGCTGCAGCAAAAATGTTGCAATACATCATGGTTCATTTGACCAGGGTTCGCACAACTAAGAGCAAATAAAATTCAAGGAGTTTTGCACGGTATAGGTGTGAAAATTGCAGTACCCAAAACTTGACAATTCTTTATGGGTCAAAGAATTTTCGAACGAAAAATAGCGAAGCGAATATCATGTATTTCTCCACTATAACAAAAACAAGGTGAAAAAGTTGGTTGGCTGAATATTCCACGGGTACAAAGTCATGTTCCACTTACGATTTGTTCACCGCAAGTCTGTTTTAACAACGCACTACAACATATAGACTTACCATCAAACCAACATCCATGTAAACTTCTAAAGGCGAGACCTGCTGAATGATGCGTGTCACACTTGACATACACACATCCCTGTAGAGTGTCAAACAAGTACATTGACAATGAGATTTTTGTTATAAATACAAAAGCATAGAGCGTATTCACTCGTTTTCACTCAATGGAACACCAACATGGCCACCGTAACGTTACGTACGTTTTCTATCCTGGGATTTGAAACCTCGTTTACTTTTAATGTCTCTCGATTTATTTAAAACTACAGGAAATGTTATAAAAACACCACAAATCTGAATGATACCTCACTAGAACTCTTGTCTACTGCTATGTGAACAACATCTGCTCCATTCTCAATACACTTTTCCAATATGGCATCCTGAATCATCACATGCCAGTTATCGTCCGTCTCACTGCAAGGAGCATTTGAAAAGAAACGATACTTAAAACTTAGACCGTTCACAGCCCCTATTTTTTCCGTACGATCGGCGAGATTTAGCGCTACTGGCGGCAGCTAACTTGACCAAGCCTCGCACCCCTATAAACCCCGAGACCCGCCCCCTCGGTACATTTGAATCCAATTACAAAATGGCTGCCAGCGACGGTGAGCGCTTGATCTTGACGATACGGAAACTGAAAAAAACAGGGAATGTGAACAGTGTATTTCAAAGTTGATGATAAAGAGAAATGTCAATATTCTCTCTGCTTTTCCCCCCCTCACCCCCTCCCCCATCGTTTGCTTGTTTTCTAGTTTTCTTGCGGCTTTGGCTCTTACTCAGTTACGAACCACAAACAAAAAATCCATCAGCAAACTGCCTTCTAAGTTTTGTTGTCAAAAAGGTATGCTGATGAACTGTCAATACATCATAATTTTAGGTTACCAACAACACGAATATTAAAACAGGAGGAAATCGAGTTTAACATTTCTTTCTAGTTTAAAATCTCCTACATGATGCAAAAGGGGTAGCATCAAGCTGTAAGAAGTAAAGGTTCTTGATCCAGTCCCGGGGCTGTCACCAAGAGAGTTGCCGGGTTTATGCACAATCATTGACGTAGAATTGAACAGCTAGGAGGTTCTTATTGGTTCTATCTTTCTTTTATTTCCTATGAAAGCAGGGGATCACGCTCAAAGTACCCTGCGGAAATCCCCGGCCCCGGGCTCGTAATAACAGCCTTGAAATACTCAAAAAAAGCAAAGGGCAGAGACAGGACACATATTTTCAACTTACACATCTGGATCAAACATGTTCCTTATCTTCAGACATGGTGTTGGACTGATTACAGGAGGATTAACAGCTGACTGGAAGTTTTCAAATGCTGGAAAAGACAAATAAATTTCAGTTGTTGCTCTTTCTCTTTCTTTAAAAGAAGCTGTATCACGAAATCCATCAGAATTCAAACGGGGGGAGCTGCCACCAAACTGAGTGAAACATTCAAATAACCGCTCAAAACGTTCGGTGAAGGTACAAATAATACAGCAACTATAAAAGGAAGCAATTGCGATTCTTGAAAACTTGTTAGCTTCTCAAAGTTCATGTTTGTTGTTTGTAACTTTGACATAATGCTTGGGGAGACATATTTGTTTGACATGAAGCTGTGATTCAGCCATTTGCAAGTAATTTCTTGGCTAATGTTAAGGGTAACCGGTCATCTTGCCACAAAGAAGTTGACTCGCTGCCAACCAACTCGCCACCAAGCAATAACTCTGTAATCAAATTCGAATAAGCTTGGCAACGACGTACACATTCTAGGTAAGTAATCCTAGGTGAGTAAACATGTCGATTAATGTAGCTTCTTGGTGGCAAGTCGACTTCTTGGTGGCGATTTCCTTGGTGGCGAGATGACCGTCAACCAAGTTCAGTTCCAAAGAGAAATAACAGCTTGCAGCATACCAGTGGGGTTTTTTTTGGCAAAAGGTACCGGTTTACAAAACAAAGAGATATACTGGAGTACCACAGTATCCACAAACCAGCAGAATGTGAATATCCTATGGCACCAATAGAGTGACTGTGTTTTACAGGAAGACTAAAGCAATCTCAGCAATACGGAACATAAAGGTGCTCTGCTTACCTTGTCCCTGCCAGTATTTTCCATGTTTGTTGCCCTGCAAAAAGACAAGACGCACAGAGAACTCTTCAGCATGAGCAAAGAAAGTTTATAGGATACAGCTGAACTTATCCTTAAGGAAACCTCCATCATATTAACACCTTTTAAAGTAAATAGTTCTTATAATTTTATGAAAGAAAATCATCGAAGTTATAGATGCAACTTTTGCAGTTGCAAAAAGAACGCCTGAATAAATTCAATGACCTGCTCCCAGTTGGCTTGTTAGCTCAACTGGAAAAGCCCAGCACTGGTATTGCAGAGGTCAAGGGTTCGAATTCCGTACAAGCCTGAATTTTTTTTCAGACTTTCTTTTCACACTGCAAAAGTTGCGTCTATAACTGTGATGATCCTCTTTCATATTATGCACCTATCAATGTAAATCCCGTGGCGGGAGAGTGCGGCCAAGGGGTGGGGATTTGATGCCTGAGACTATCCCCGCTGTCGGGCTTTTGATCGTGCGAAGCGACCCCGGGGTCGGGACATTTGACTTGGGCCAACAGAAGCCTGGTATTGATTCCTGGTATCAATTCAGAAGCGGTTACCAGGTCCGTTCCTCGAGGCTTTCTGAAAGTCACGCCGTTGGAGAAAGGTATGAAGTTTTCATTTGTTTTAATTGCCATAATCTGATACTTTAAACTGTCATTTAAACAGATAATGTCTATTTTAAGAAAGTTTTTATCTTCAAGTTCTCATCTGATTGTAAACCTCGATTGAAATCGAATTCCACCATGAAAGTCAGAGAATTTTTTACGAGTCACTGATCCGACCTGTTCTGACATGTACTTGACCAGATGTTATAAAGCATTTTATGTTTCATTAATATTATAATAGCATGGTCAATCTTCCTGGAGTGATTTTGTTGTTCAAAATAAGAAATGCTAGTGGAGAGAGAAAATACTTAATTACAGCGAGTAACTTAACAGAGCTTATGTTAACCTTAAATAAAAGTAGTAAGAACGTACTTTTCAAATGTTCTTTTATTCGTTTTATATAGTATTATAGTATTGTTTGTTTAGATTTTTTTCCCTGGGGTGGGGTCTTTTTTAACACTTTTGATTGACCTTTTGTTTCCCATCCTGGGGAATTTGATCAAAAAATTTTAAAATTTGTCAAATCCCCACCCCTTGCCCGCACTCCCGCCCGACGGGGTTTACATTGATAGGTGCATTATTCTCCACCCCTCTGTTCTCATATGTGATTTTCATATATTCATAACTGCAAATAGTTCTCTTGGTTACAAAGACACCTAACTTCACACAATCCCTGGCACATCTCAGTCTGTAATGCAGACACATGGTGTGTGTTGTATTGTCCATTAATTTGAAGGAGCGTATTTCCTGCTGGAGTGGTTAAGTTTGTCAAAGAACAGAGCTAAGAATTTAACGGTGACGTACACGCCACACACAAGACTCAAAGTTTACATCTCTGGATAGATCACACATATTTACATCCAAACAAGCAAGGAAATTTCTCATGGATATGCCCACCATGAGGCCCCACTTACATAGAATCCAAGTTATTTGTGAACATATTACAAGCCTTCATTTGCCGTGATCCCCTTCAGATGTATGCCCAAGCATAAAATCCATGGCAATTAAAATAAAATTCATATCAGCCAATAAGATACATCACATAAAATTAATATAGTTATTAAACTGACAGCATAAACTTACTGCAAGTGACAATTTAGGGTTTCGAGGTTTGGGTGTGGCAATGTGTATCCACCTCCAAACTTCAAAATCCTCTCCAGCTATTCTCTGGCTTTCAACACGAATGCGAGATTCATTTGCACTCAAGAACCGAACTGCTCTGTTCCATGCTTTGGACAATCTTTGTCTGTTAAGACAAAAATGAAGTTAGAATCACTCCTTACCTATAAAGGAGAATGTTTACAGGTATGTAGGCCAGAGGGCTGCTTTGTCCATGAAGGTTAATCTTTTCAATAAGTTCACTAAATGTTTGGTGACTACTTCATCTTAATGAATCAATCCTCTAGACCCTGATTACCAATAATTATTCCTGATAACAACAATTTCATGTACAGTACACTTTCCATTTAAAGGGAACACATTCCCTTTTAACCTTTGATATGTTTTTTTGACACAACAAATTGAGTGATAATAGCACTTATACAAACTCACGCAGTCAACAATATGTGCAACATTCAACAGCATAATGGCTCACTAATGTAAAGCCCATACAGATCAGATGCAAAAAAAACTGAGAAAAGAAACAATGAGTAGAAATCGGTTTCAAAAGTTAATGAAAGCTAAATAGCCGAGCAGGTGTTTGTATCAAAATGTTAATTCCACTGTAATTTAATAATACCTCTAATGCACATGTACAAGATACAGAAACATAAAAAAACTAATAGTATTAATCATCACTTGACTATCTTACACTGCAATAGCACAAGTCCTTTGCAACTTTTTCAAATAATTACTTATTAATAATCAAACAAGACTCCACACTCCACACAAGACAGTGCAGGAGAAAATCCTACATATTGGGAGACACAGATCGAGGAAGGCAAACTATTTTACAAACCTATCAGATGGAGCAATCAGCATATCTCTGACATGAGGAATTGGAAGATAGGGCAACAAATTCTTATCTGTTTTGCTTGCTTCATGATGTTCTCTTAAGACCTCTATTGATTTAAGTGAAAAACAAAATATTTTTATGGTCAATATTTTGATCCCCTATTAACATAAATTATTTTCATTCTGAAAAATAGTCTATTCTACTCGCTTTAAGAATACTGTTACTGCAAACATATTTTTAGCCCTTGAACTGAGTGAGTACATCTCTGTATCACAATGAAACAATGATCCTACTTTAGGCTGCATATCTTTGCCTAGAGAACTACCAACAGAGCAATAGAATGTTAAATTAATATTCTATTAATGCATACCAATAATATTTTCCACAAACTGATACATCTTTCTAGTCTCTTCCTCCTCTCTCCTCCATCTTTGACGAACAATGAAGTATGCAACCATTAGACCTCCAATACCTTAAGAGAAACAACAACTTTATGCTAAAGGAACATGACAGCTGCACATGTGAATGAATCACTTGTTACTTTTTGAAACAACCAGACTACAGCCACTTTCATTGTATACATTAATTTGTGTTAAACACATTTGCTGAAACACACCCACTGGAAAATGTTACCCTGGGAAAAGTGGGGTACCTGGGGTGCAAAGAAAGTCACTTTTACAGTTTGCCATTCGGGCAAACTGAAGCTAACATTTACTAGCCCAAACATCATTTCAACTAACCCCAAAAGCGTTTTGATGAGCAGATTGATTTCACAGTTCTTCTGTAATTTGAATTCTTCAAAAAACTTCACTTGCCCGTCGGGCAAGTTAACAACAGAATTCACTAGCCCGATAGCAAAATCCACTAGCTCCGGGCTATTGGACACTACTTTCTTTGCACACTGGTACCCATTAGGTATTTCTTGTCTTTTATGAACTCTTAGCAAACCAAAAGTCTCACATCTCACATCAGTTCTCCCATCTTACAAGGAGATACAACTGTAGCAATATTTGCATTGTTTTTACAGTGTTGGAAAAATCTTTCTGATATCTATAAAATTACAGAGCACCAATTAATTGAAGCAACATGGTGCATTTTGTCTTGTAGTGACTGACATCCCACGGGCTGACATTTCTAATTATTCTAAAATTTCTGTAGTCTTCCAGCAAATTGACTCAATAGCAAAAAAAGTTATTACATCCCACAAGAATCAGAACAGTGAAAGAGATGTGAGATGGAGCCTACCGTTTTTCATCCTTATCCCAGAAGACTAGAATGTCTAACCATTTGAAGATGTCACAACAAAGGCAGCACATTCTCCTCGGTTATTTTAAGAACTTGAGTGTTGGTCTGGCTGGGGTTTGAACCCATAACCTTTTGCTCAACAGCCTGGTGCTTATCCGATTGACCTAACTGGGCAGCAGTCATTTACACACTGAGAATTTTACATGGCTAGTAGAAATACATAACAAAAAAGAAGAACAGACATATTTGTTGCATTGTTTGGTTTTGTAGTGAGAAGGGGATTGGTAGACGAGTTCAACTTTTACCTCATTAAAATGTTGTTGGTTCTTTTTTTTTTCCCTCTTGTGGGTAGTTTATGCTTTGGAGGATTCTTGGGGCTGACTGAACAAAATTAATGTTATTTTTGCCGTTTGTTTTACAATGTGACAATTTTAATTTGATATTTCATTCCCACCTTCAATTTAGCGGCAAAAAGTACTCGACTTCTCTGAGCAAAGTAGCTGGTGTGTTTCATCAGTTGGAGGTGCTTATTACAGTACTATAATGGGGCCACCGTCGATAAAGTTGACCAATGGGATGACAGGAAAATAACAATATGTTCTGAGAAAGTTAGTTGTCATTCGTAATTACCACGAAATGAAATTAACAACATGGATTGAAATAAAAACGTGACCTTTTGACCTGTTGAACAAAGCTTATGCTTCCTGAGAGGGCCGATGGAGTGTTGACAGAGGCAAAAAATGTGAATGCTAGTTATATTTTGGACTTCACGTCGCTTTTTTATTGCAAAGTGAAGCAATAGTGTCAAAGAAATTGCTGGTAGATGACAAAATAACAGCTTGTTTCAAACAAATATGTCTCCTGGGTGTTATCTGTTAAGTTTAGAATAGAAAAACATTCGCTGGTAAAACATTTTGCTTTCTTGAAAAATGTTCGTTATCAAATACTTAATTGATTTTTGTAATTTTAGTAACTTATTGTTTTTTAACGAGCTATTGATTGGCCAACAACCAACCTTCTTGGATTGTTTTGTTATTTTCCTGTAATCCGATTGGTCAACGTTGTCTAAGCAGCCCTGGTTACAGTTGTTGCACTGTAAAACCCCTGACTCACACGTTAATATGATGCAAACAGTCCCTGATAAGCAAATAAGTTATTGAACCAAATACCAGAACTTACCAAATCCAATTACAAAAGAAAGGTAAGCCAACCGAGACATGGCTTCTTTGATGCGGCACATAAGAGGTTTGGCTGCAACAGAACTATCAATCCATCTTATGGTTACATTTTCTATGGACGTTGCTTGAGTGTTGTTTTCATGGAACAACCTAGAGAAGAGAAAACTTAGTTAGAAGCTGATACTCAAAGTTCATTTTCAATAATATCTGCAAAGTGAATGTCAAATAAAACTTTTGCAGTTGTTTAACACAAAATTATAAGAATCAACTTAAACATTCAAATGAACACACAGATGGAAATACCATGCCAGGGAGTATTAGCTACAAAGCCAATTCTCAGGTGATTGGCACTAAAGGCTAAGATTTTATAGGTGTTAGAATGTCTGCAAAATTATATGGGATTGCAAGGAAAAAATAATTGCTCATGATTGCAAGGTGTGCAGTCCAGCAACCTATCTCTGATACACATAATTATGGTATTTTCTCAGTTATTCAAACCACCATAAAATTACACTGGTAAATTGCACTGGTAAAGAGTTTAAACCCTACAAATTAGCACACCCACTATTTGTTTGATGCTCCCTTTTATTTTCAGGGTTGTATCCCATAATTTTGGCAACAGTCAGCTCACATGCCAAGAAACTATAGATGAGGTAACACCCAAGAAAAGATCAAGAACATTGATGGACATGATCTGAATCCAGAATTATTTAAATGAAGTGCTCTAAGTTCTAAAGTGTATAAATTATGTTGCAAGTCAAAATTATATTCAGGTTAAAATTTATTAACCTATGTTGATTATCAAATTTCCTTTGTCTTTGAGTCCTAAAATCATTATTCATGAATTTGGGAGCTACGACATATATACCTGCACTACAATTTTTTTAGGAGAAGGACAGTGTACTGGTGTCATAACTCCCCCAAAAGCTACTGAGGGAGCGATCAGAACTGAATATAATAAATCTAAGCATTCCTTTACTTATTTCTTGCTGAAAAGATAGTGCTTATGATAAACGTGGTCAAGAAAAATAATATGCAAGTTGGTAATAGAACTGACATAAATCAGCATTCAGATGTAACCAAACATGAAGTTATAAGACTTGTAAATTCT